AGGAACGACTTGTGAGTCGCTTCGTCTCTGAAAGCTCGCTTATTTGAGCAGCCCAGATGAAGGGTACAGAGGGCTGCCGACGCTGCTGCTGTTGCTGCTGATTTCTGTGCCGTTAACCCCAACCGTGCCCGCACTCTCACTTGTCCCGCTGCCGCTGCTGCTCGTGCTGTTGCCGTTGCTGCTGCTGTTGCCGCTGCTGTTGCCCGCTGCAGGAGTGGGAGGAGGGTCAGGTCCTGCGATCTGCGGCTTGGCCGTTCTCTTCCTCTTGCGTTTCACATAATAAGTCGTTGGATTCGTGAGCCCTTGCTTGCAAACCTGGTATGCTGACAACGGGTCTGGCCCGTATCCTTTCTCGCAGAAGCATTTCACGGCTTGCGCCTTGGGCGGACCGGAGGACCACACGCAGAGCCCCGCTCCCCCGCACTGCGTCTTCCCCGCGCGCAGGCTGCGCTCGGTGCGGCAGAACCCCGCGCACGTGTCCGCGGTGCGCTGCTGAGCGCCCCCCTTGCAGTTGGCGGATCCCGAGAAGCAATTGCCCCCGTACATCGCGCGCTGGCGGACGTCCGCGGAGGCGGAAGGACAGGCCGCCGTGCTTCCGCCGCTGCCTCCGCCGCCGCTGGTGGTGTTCGTGCTCGCAGTCAGCTTGAACCGGGGCAGACCGTAAAAGAAATTATTCCTGAGATCCAGCGACCCGTATTCAGCGTCGAGCGGCATCGCGGGCAGCCCGGCAGTGGTGCCCGTGAACAAATTGTTCGCGAGCGAAAACTGGCGAATGCTTCGCATGCCGTTGCGAAAGGACGTTGGAATCAACCCGCTGAGCTTGTTCCCCGCGACGCTGAACCGCTTCAACTGATTCAACTTCGCCAGGCTCCCGGGAAGCGATCCTTCCAGCAGGTTCCCGTCGAGTAAGAGCAGCTGCAGCGCGCCGAGCTTGCCCAGCGCTGCGGGGATTTTTCCGCTGAGCCGGTTCCGCCCCAGGTCGAGGAACTGGAGGGCTCGGAGGCGCGCGAAGGCCTGCGGAATTGGTCCGGTTAGCTGGTTGTTTCCTAGTTGGAGGGTTAGTAGGTTCGGTAGGAGCGCGAGTTGCGGCGGTATGGGCCCCCAGAGCGCGTTTTTGGAGAGGTCGAGGTAGTTTAGGGTGGTTAGGTTGGCGAGTTGTTTCGGGATGGTTCCGCGAACGTTGGCAGACATGAGCATGATCTGCAGCACCTCGCCACGTGGCGAGCACGTGACGCCGTACCACATGTTGCAGGGCGTTTCCGCCTTCCACGTGTTGGCGCCGTCGAAACTGCCGCCCAGCGCGGACTTGACGGCCATCATGACGGCTAGCTGGGACTTGACGATTGGCGGGTACTTCTGCGCGGCTGCATACCGCAATGGGCCCGCGAGGAGAAGGATGGAAAGAAGCAGGAGCACAGTGGAAAGAGTGGAGGGAACAGGAAATGGGTGATATCGGCAGGATTTCAGGATTTCAGTCGACTCGTATTCCTGCTGTACTACGTGCTGATGGTGGACCGCACTGGTAATAAAGTGAGAGTCGACTCTAGATTCCGCGGGCCAGTACGGAAATACACGAAGTTGCGGACGTGACTATCCCTTGAGGGAAAGGGGGACGACTCTGGACTGGCAACACAACACCTTGTGGATGGGTGGGTGAGAAGGCCGATAATATTCCTGTAAAAAGGAAAGACGGTATTCTTGTCTACTCTAGCGTGTCTCGTGGCCGACAATCTTAGGCTAGCCCACCATTCTGAGACGCTGTGAAGATGGCCGCCCGCTGGTCAAGTACGGCGCGTTAAAATGCGAGGGGTGCCGAGCAAGCCGAGTTACCTGAGTTACGTGGTGCTGGTTCTGGGCGCGAGATAGTAGGCACTAGGAAATTCATGGCCGCGATGCAGACAAAACAATTTAGTTTCAAGACTTCCATACCATTTCCATGTTTGGGAATTCCAGCGCAAACCAGCGAGAACGCAGGTAACCCAACTCAACCGAAGCCAGCCCATGGATATATTTTTATCTGCAAGTGTGTCGCGCGCGCGCGACCAATTTTCCACAACCTCAAAGTTGACCCGTTGCTGGAGCAGGCGCACAAGAGAGCGGGGCGGGAGTGGGCAAGAATTCCCAATCTCCTTTCGAGCCAAGCACGCGCCAAATCGAAAGAGAGCGCGCATCGCAGATTGTATGACTGTCACCAAAGCTCAGAGCGGGCTGGCGAAAAAACAAGGACGAAATTTCCACGTAGCGCGACATACGGTATACGAATTTTCTCAGTGTGTAGATAAAGGAGGAAAATAAACAAATTAGTCAAGAGCTTCTAGCTACAGTCTTCAAGCATAGGAGCTTCTAGGTATTGTTTTCGGTATGCCCAAGTCTGACAATCGCCTTCAACAAATAAGGCTGTGAAAATTCAAGAGCCCTAGAGTCTAATACTGTATTATGGAGACTAAACGCAGTGCCATCAGTTACTGAATGTACAAGGTTGTCCGGTCAAGGAATGGAGGAATATTTAGCAAAGCTTCACATGACTTCATCCACAGCAATGGCAGCGGAAGCAGCAGCAGGAGGGGCAGCATCAGAGGAGGCACTTGGGAGAGGCAATGAGAGGAGGCACTTGGGAGAGGACGCCATTGAGAGAGAGCGAGTCAAAGTGGAAGAGGTTGTTCATGGGCTGCCCCTTGCGCGATATCGCCCTCACCACCTCCTGCTCAGGGAGTCCAGCATGTGTGTGGGCAGCAGCGGTAGGGAAAGCATGCTGCAGGGATCAAGACCAGGGCAGCATTCTGCGTACGCACGAGTGGGTGCAAGTGTGTGTGCATCCGTGTGCGCACGTGCGTGCGTGCGTGTTTGTCTGTTGTGAATGCATACGTTCACGTGCATGTGAGAAGGGGGAAGGGGATGCTGACACATGCTTCAGCTCCACAAAAGACAAGGGCGATGAGCGATTAGGGATTCAAAGACCGTGAATCAAATACACACAGTGATCACTGCTGGCTTTTCACCATCACTTAAAAGAACTCTTAAAAGAGACCTCGGATGCACCTGAGCGGCACGAGCACATGCACACGCACACACCTGAGCAGCGATGCCCCCCACAATGGCGGCAACAGCAGGGACCTCCGAGGCCCCTGCAGCGGCCATGAGGCGGATCAGGCGCTTCACATGGGGCTCATGCAGGCGATGGCACGCCTGGGCGGGGGGAAGGGGAGGGGAGGGACGGGAAGGGAGGGGAGTTTCCAGTCGACTTGAAAACTGCGGCAGCCATGAGGCGAATCAGGCGCTTCACATGGGGCTCATGCAGGCGATGGCACACCTGGGCGGGAGGAGGGGAGGGGAGGGAGGAAAGACAGTGTAGGGAAAGAAGAGGTGAGGAGGAGGTAAGGGGAAGGAGGGGCGAAGAAGAGGAGAACGAAAGGGGGCGGTGAAAGGGGTGAGGGATAACTAGGGGTAGGCGTAGGTGGGGATTAGGGGTAGGGGGGTACGACTAGCGGTAGAGGGTAGCAACAGGAGTAGGGGTAGGATTACGAAAGGGTAGAGAGCACAGCTCATTAGAAGTCACACACGCTCATTTGAGGACACACGGCGAATGCATGCGATGGGCTAACACAAAGCAAGCAAGAATGCGAGGAGGGGAGCGGGAGGTGGTGCAGCGCAGGAGAGGAGACTCACGGGTGAGCCTTGGCCCTTGTCGTGTGCGAGCGCCAGCACCCCCTCCACACTCGCCTCGTCGTATGCCTGGCCTGCTGCGCGCTTCTCCCGCGCGTCATAGTCCTCCATGGCTGCTCATGGCAGTTCCACGCAGGAATGCAATACACATAAGGGGGACGGTGGGGGGGAGTTTTGAGGTGTAAAGTGTGGGACTGGTTGAGTAGTGGTATAATGAACCAAACAGAGGAATGGAATTGAGTGAAAGAAGAGCGAGAGTGGATGTGTGAGATGGTATGGCACGGCATGGCACAGCACAGAACAGGAAGGAATGACATGAGATGAGATGACGTGTTACCAGGGGAGACAGAAGCTCTCCCTCTCACCTTGAAACGCGAAGTGAGATGGTGGGGTGTGCTTGGGAAGCTTCGACCACGGAGTTGAAACCACCTCCTGATATTGCGCATGTCATACCAGAAAGCAAGCGCAAGGAGTAGATGGGTTTGCTCGCAGGCCCCAATAAGAAATGCAAGGGAACGGGAACCTATGACTGCAAGAGAGAAAAAAAAAATGCAGTGCGGGAAGAGAGAGAGAGGACCATATAGGCTTTCATATAGGCTCTCCTTGCACTTGTCTGTACTTCAAGTTCTACATCAATGAAAGGGCCATTCGAGAAGAAGAAGCGAGAGGAGTGGTGGATGGGCGAGCAGTGGGAGAAGATGAGGATGAGAGGATGAGGAGGAACACCTTGAGTGATGGATATGAGATGTGCAGTGCAACGTGCTCATCCTGCTTCTGGTACTGTTGGTGCCAGGCCAGGGCAGGGGGGGTAGAAGGGCGGGATGCGAGAGGGGTAAAAGGTGAGCGAGGTCAGTGATGATGATGCGGCCACACGTGCTCTGCATCGCCATGTAGAGTCACAACAGCCACACAATAAAGTATTCACTCAACAGCCAGCCAGCCAGCCAGCCAGTAAGCCAGCCAGCCAGCCAGCCAGCCAGCCAGCCAGCCAGCCAGCCAGGCAGCCGACAGCCAGCCAGCCAGCCGACAGCCAGCCAGCCAGCCCAAAGCCATCCGCCACCATTCAGTGGAGCATGAGCACCCACCCACCATGCAGTCGTGTTCAGAGAGGTCGGCGATGATGCGACCGCAGGGACTCCGCACTGCCATGTAGAGTCGACTACAGCGAACTAAAATATCAATTAACTGCCAGCCATCAGCCACCAATCGGTGGAGCATGAGCACCCACCCACCATGCAGTCGTGTTCAGAGAGGTCGGCGATGATGCGGCCACACGGGCCCCGCACTGCCATGTAGAACAGGGCCGCTGGCGCCGGCTGCCTTGCTCTGCACGCTGCGTCGATGCGCTCCTGACAGCGTGGGCAGGTTGGTGGGACAAGAGGCGGTGGGGGAGGGGAGGAAGGGCGTGGGATGGAGGGACGGCTTTTGAGGCGCCTCGAAAGTGCTCTGCTCTGCATGCCGCATCGATGTGCTCCTGAGTCCTGACTGAGTCCTGACTGAGTCCTGACCCTGTGGATGGGTTGCAGGGATGCACTTTTGTGGGGGGGAGGAAGGGGCGCGGTTGGAGGGACGGTGGAGGGGAGGAGAGGGTGTGCGTGCGTTGGAGGGACGAGGGGGCGCCCTGTTGGACTGGGCTGGACTGGACCTAGGTGCTTGCTGTGCTGTGGCGCAAACTCCTCAGTACTGACATGATAATGCATGTCGCTTGCGAACGAGACACGGTGCACACCCAGGTGCACGCTACGCTAGGTGCATTCACTCAGCTATTCAGTTCAACTGCTCGTGGTGGCGATGATCGCAGGTAAGTCACAGTACCTGCATGTGCTGATCGCAGCACGTGAGGAGTACCATGTGTATGTCGTCCATGGGTAGGCCTAGCGATGGCAGGGATGATGCTTTGAGTCGACTCAAAAGTCAACTCGGTGGTGTTAATGATCACGGGTACTCGGGTAAGTCACGGTACCTGCATATGCTGGTTGCATGATGTGAGGAGGACCGCGTCTATGTCATCCATGGGTAGGCCTAGCGATGGCAGGGATGATGCTGCCATGGCCTCCAAACTCCCTGCTCACATGCAGATGTGTGCACAAGCACACTTGCGTACATGCATGCATGCATGCAGCCACACACACATACACTCATGCACACATGTGTGCATGCATGCACGCATGGAATGCAAACATTGACACATGTACTCACGCACAGAATGTGTGAACTCACAAATGCACACAAGCAGTCATGCATACATAAACATGCCAACCAAGTCGACAAAGGGAAGGCACCACACACATAGATGGAAGGAGCACGAACTTACACACGCTCAAAGTGAAATCATAAGTCAAATCGCACGGACCCCACTGTGGCACGCGCATATGGGGTTGAGTGAGAGGGAAAGTGGAGGAGGAAGAGAGAGCAACAGCGGTGGCAGCAGAAGCAAGCAGCAACCATCTCAGGGTAAAGCTTCAACATGAGGTAGTAGCATGTTAGCCAGGCAAACACTAATCCGCAGGCATGCCTGAGCAACATAATGGCTCATCAGTCGGTGGATGTTTGCCCCCTACATAGCCCTCTAGTAATCCACAGTCACCCACTGCCACACAGCACCGCTCACCAAGAACTGTTTTAACCGTCACAAACTGGTTAAACTCAAGGTGACTTTAGAGTGAACTCAAAAGCCCCACCGCTGCACAGCACCACCCCGCACTCACCAGGAACTGTTTTAACCGTCACAAACGGGTTGAACTCCTGCAGAGCTTTTGCACATGCCTGCGCCACTGACATCCCATCCCTCTCTGTCCCCTCCGCATCGCCTCCTTCTCCTCCTCCCCCTGCTATTGCCCCTGATCCTGCCGCTGACGCTTCTTCTCCTGCTGCCACAGCTGCTGCTGCTGGGGGAGAAGCTGAGGAGAAGCGGAGGAGGAAGTTACCGTCCATTTCGGCTTGTGTGGGGGGCAGACCAGGGTCCAGGAGAGTGAGTGAGCCCACGCCGGCCAGAACCAAGTTCTTGCACGTCTGGTTAAGGGTGGTGGCGGGATTGAGGGACGAGGGAAGGAGTTATGGAGGGTGGGAGGGGAAAAGGGAAGACGGATGTTGTTGTGATGCAAGTGGTTGAGAGGTAGGTGGTTGGGAACAAGGAGCTGAAAATGCGGAGGCCGAAAATGCGGAGGACAACTTGGGTGTGTGGGGAGTGGATAGGCGAGAGTCAGAAAAAAAGGAGGGGAGAATGAAGTTGAGTGAATGATTGCTCCTCCCGCTCTTCTCTCCCACTCCACCTGTCCCTCCTACCTCTCTGGCGATCACGATTTATGCCCCATTCCTTAACGGGATTGTCTGAACATTCTCTGCCCCAGCCCCCCCTCAACTCACCTCTGCCATGACAGCAGACATGCCGATCACCAGCAGCCGAGCAGAGCCGATCCTGTGACGACAGGGAAGGAAGCGAGAGAGGAGGGGCAATGCGCACTCATAAGACCATCCCAGCACGAAACAGTACGTGTGTTCCAAGTTGCCATCGACTCGAACCAGGTCGATGATCAATGCACGCCCGTCGGACCATTTGCGCAGCGGACGCAACTAGCAGAAGCAAGATCTCGCTCGCGAGAAAACGAGCAGCGAGCAGCGGGCAGCATGAGCCACACCTTTGTTGGGCCTCCACTCCCCACATCCGGATCTGCCGGTCATACACCGCTGCCTCCTGCTCCGACAACATGATGCGTTCCCGCTCTGTGGCAACCCGTGGGATGGAGAGTTGTGAAATATAGCTGCACGGCTCTCGAGATTAGCTGCAGGATTCGTGACTTGCTATGTGCTATCGGGTCCGTCCCTTCAGACGAACAAAATCGTGAGAGTTACTAGTATCGGAAGGTGTGGAGCGAGCCATTACAATGCAATCTCGTTTTTTCGGTTGTGCCTGACATCTGCAACGTTTCATCAACGCTCGTTAAAAGTAGACATAGTAGTGCTTGGTGTACAGCTTTTGAAAAAGCAAGGATCATTACAACATTTGCAATTGCTGGAAAATGAAGAACATGACGCCTAGTTCAGATCTATCTGTAGTGTAAGGAAGCCTAGAACTTGACCCTGTACGCTCATGTCCACACCATATCATGCAACTGTACTGAAAACCAGAAACCCACAATACCACCCCGTCTTCTGCAGCAGCTCTGCACAATCAAGCTGGTCATTCTTCCTAGCATGAGCACGTGGCCGCAGCCACCTTGTCTGCTGCGCTCTGACTCGAGGCTGACGTGAGCTTGACATCCACCAAGTCCTCCTGCTGCTTTGTGGCTGACAGTGCCTCCATGCCTGGCAAAGCAGCTGCAATCTTACGAAACAGAGCCTGAAGGGATGTAGAGGACAAGAGGACATGATGCAAAGCAGAAGGCAATGAGCGCGATGAGATGGCATGAGGACAGGAAATGGGATACATGATGATGGTCATGCATAGGCGAGGGAAAGGAAACGAGTTGAGCTCGGAGAGAGGGCAGGCAGCAAGGGGAAAATGGAGAAGAGGGGGGGAATCGAGGGTTTAGTGTATGGACGTTTGAAAAAAGTCAACAGCATTGGCTCCTTCAATACCTTGATGTTAAAGCCCGCCTTTGCACTGGTCTCAATGAACATGACATTCAAATCACGCGCCTTGGCTTCTCCCTCCTCAATAGACACTTGTCTGTCATACAGTGAACACAACATTGGAACAAAGAATGAGAGCTATGCGGATTGAAGCTGCAAAGAAACGTGGAAACAACCAACTTCAGCAAAAATGTTACTAACAAAGGAAACACAGGTCAACGCTTATCAATCGTACCTCTTATCAACAAGATCTGTCTTATTCCCAACCTGCGAGGACCAAAACAAACAAGTTGGTACCAATCAGGTAAGTCATGGACACGGTAGCACGTGCACCTCGAACCTAATGAAATGCGGATCAAGCTTCAACGCAGACTATTGGACAGCTTCTGATAATCACAACCTTGCGCTGTTCTTTATCTGTTTCGATTGCTTGTGTACAACGTGCCAGCACGTTTCCGACAGACGCAGATGCAAGTACGAAAGGCGTAGAACGTGGGAAAAGGTGCACTTACCAGCATGATAATGACGTCACTACCCCGCTCTGTGCGAACCTCTTCCACCCACCGAGCTGTGTTCAGGAATGAAGCGCGGTCTGCAGTAAGCAGTAAGAGAAGAAACACAGAAAACATCATTGAACTTGCTCACGATCCGCCAGGACGAGCAACAGGTGAAGAATTTACACAACAAACTCCTTACTTGTCACATCATAGACGACAACAGCGACAGAAGAATCGCGAATGTAGCTGGGAATTAGACTGCGAAACCTTTCTTGCCCCGCTGTATCCCTGTAAACGCGAACAGACAGGTTAAGTTAATAAAGAACAAGATACAGCTGAACGGCGACGATGAGATTGAAAGTGAAGCGCATTCAATCTACATACCATAGCTGCAACCGCACCGTCCGGTCTTCAAGGTACATCGTCTTGGACAAGAAGTCGATTCCAATAGTGGCCTGTCATTTACGTAGAATATGAACCATCTCAGTCATACAGCACGAGCAGAATATCTACCCACGACAAAAAAGAAGAAGAATAAAACAACCCAGTAGCCGCAGATCAACGACAAATCACTGTCTAATTTCACGCACAACGCTTTACTTGCACTACTAGTCTTGCAAGCGACGTTTATTCCTTGCTTTTCCTTGTTTGCCATTTAATACCCCAAGTCTATGTTCTTTAGGACTTCAGGCGTGGTCACTAAAGACCTCGGGAGCTGCCTTCTGGTGTCTTTGACACGCGACCAGATAAGGTACAAATGAACACTCGCTCACCTGATACGTGTTATCGAACTTGTCGTACATAAAACGTGTAATGATGCTTGTTTTCCCAACGGACTGATCTCCAAGGAACACTAGCTTGTACTTCGCCAACGGCGAAACGGCTGCCGCGGCTCCCCCACCTGATGCCATTTCTCAAGCTGTGACTAAAACAAACACAGGAACTAACGGAAGACGACGACGGTGAACTCGACGAGATTGCACTAGAAAATTCCCGACTCGGCTGCTGGGGAACAGCTACACTGTGCAACCAGACTCTTGAATTTGGCCTCTAATAGGAGGATCAGAGCCTAGAAGTCTGGAGATGGACATGCAAAAAAAGTCCCCAGCAGATCTGAAGTGAAGGCTTGCTGGCTTGGAGGGGAGATGGACTGTCTGAGAATGGGAGACGTGAGCTCGCGATTCTAAACGAAAAGGAACGATTTGTTCTGACGGACGACAGGGTTACTGGCAGGAAAAGATGCCAGCCCCGATTTGATGGGGACGGAAGGGAGGGGAGGTTTCGCATCATCGTAGGTTGACGGAAGCTTCTCCCAACTGGACAAACCGTTGGCGGGAGTCCGGTGCGACAAGAGCTGTGTACAGTAATGTACTGACTAGGGTCGCACAGACTCGTAGGCGGGGGAGGGAGGTGACCGGAGGCTACCATGCGCCCAGGGACCCTTCTGAGCGAGCGGTGGGCGAACGGTGATGGCTTTCGGAGCTTTATGATTGGTCGGTTTGCGTCAAACTTCGACTTCCGAAGCCTAGGGAAGAGTCGACCTGTGTCGGGCCTGCGACTGTTGAATGGCCAATAGCGACTGAAGGCGAACGACTTATTGCCGGCATTCTCCTTGCTAAGCATACTACACAACATTCAGCTAATTAGTATGGAACCATACACAACACTCAGTAGATAAATAAAACCACACACAAAACTCTACCCTAACGCGAAGTTGTATTGGGGTCCTAATAAGTTCCTGGACTCATACATATGAATTCGTTTTAGAAATGGATATGGTGACGTTGCAGATTGCCATAGTGTTCTTGAGGCCCACGTATGGCCATTGGGTCATAGTGAGGAGGCGGCAAGTTGTGTTGTAGGTTGTTGCGTCCTCTGTCCCTTGCACCCAGTGACTGCCGCCCATGAGCAGAAAATTCTCCTGGTCCAGGATAATCAGCATGCATATGAGATGGAACAGGTGGGAACTCCTGGCTGACAGGCGAAGGCACAAGAAACCTCTCAGCACCGGGATGACTGTTGACAGCAGCAGCCATGGCAGCTTGAACAGGGATCCCAAGAGCCATACCAGGAGCCATACCAGAGAAACTCTCACATGGACCCAAGCGGCTCATGTGCCCCGCGGCAAGTGACGCATGCCCATGGTGAGGGGTGGTGTGGGGAGGAAGAGTGGCAGTGTGATGAAACGATTGGAATGGAAGCTGTTGCTGATGAAGCATGCTTGAAAAATGAGGATTAGGAGCAGGAGGAGGATGTTGGGTATGAGCGGGAACAGACGGAGCAGGATGCCAGCTGTGACCTGGGTAGAAATTCATTCCGTGGTGAAATGAAGGCGGGACTGGGAGAGGGGTCCCATGCAGGGCGTTGGAGGATAAGCCGTGGTTATGTGGCTGCATCGCATGCGCCCTGCTATCATGGCTCGCTGCCATGGTCCACCCTGCTGCTGTTGATGCCGATGGTGCTGGTGCCACTGAAGGTGCTGATGCTGATGGTGCTGCAGCTGCCACTGCCACTGATGGGGGTGCTGCTGACGGTGAAGGTGCAGCTGGTGTCGCTGTCACTGATGGTGCTGATGGTGCTGCCGCCACTCCTGCTGCTACCGCTGCTGCTGCTCCTGCTGTGACCACAGGTGGTGCTTCTGCTGCTCCTGCAATTACCGGCACCCCCATTCGCTCTGCGTTAGCATCTCCTCTGCTTCTAACGGGCTCAGTCCTCTCATCCCAGTCTACCCTATCACCACCCTCCCGTCTTCCACTTTCCCCTCTGCTCACCTGCAACCCCCTTCCCTCCTCATTCTCCCCTCCACCCCCCTCGCTATCATTTACTCCACGATCAATAGGCGCCTTCATTCCCATCCCCTCTCCGCCTTCCTTCCCCTCTTGCCCTTCTGTGCATCGCCCTCCGCTCCTGCTTTCCGTCATCCCTTCTTCTACATTCACATCCACTTTCCCAACCTTCACCCTTTTTGCCTTCTCCCCTTCACCCTTTGCACAACCACTACCCAAGACACCCGCCTGCTCTCCTGTCACTCCTCCCTTCCTTTCCCTTCTCCTTCTTCTCCGCTCCTGTCTCCTTGACACCTTTGCTTTCATCGCCTCGCCCTCCCCCTCCTGAAGCCCCTCCCTTTCAACATCCATCCGCTCCTCTCCTCCACCCCCACTGCCTTCTCTTCTCCCATCACACTCCCCCAACACTTGCCCTCTTCTCTCCTTCCCTGTACCCGCATCTCTCACCATCGCGCCATCCTGCAGGTCACTGCTACCACCAACCCTAACAACTCCCTCATTATCTGCACCCTCATCCATTCGCTCTTTCCCCTTCCTTCTCTTCCTTCTCTTCCTTCTCTTTTCCCCCTCCACCGGTCCCTCTCCCCCTCTAATCTGCTTCACAGCAGCATCACCAGACACTCCTTCCGCACTCAAGCCCTTCTTATCTTTCTTCCCAACCACCACCTCCATATGTCCCTTTCCTCCTACAGCATTCTCCTCCCCACGCTCAACAACCCCCTCTCCTGCCCGTACCACCCCCTTCTTTCTGTCCTTTCCTCTCCTCTTCCTCTTCGCCTCCTTTTTCTTGGACCGTGCCTCCTCCAACCCCTCGTCACTCCGCCGCACCTCATCATTCCTGATCTTCTGATTCCCAGTTTCTTCCTCTTCCTGCTTTTCCTCCTCTTCCTCCTCCTCCTCTTCCTCTTCCTCCCCCTCCTTTCTCCGTACCTTATTTCTCTGCTCCTTTTTCTTCCCCTGCACATTTTCCTCCTCTTCACTGCTACCTTCTTGTTTCTTGCGACCCTTCTTACTCTTTGAACGTGACTTAACCACCTCTGCCTCTGCCTCTGCCTCTGCCTCTGCCTCTTCCTCTGCCTCTACCTCTGCCTCTTCCTCTTGGTCCTCCTCCCCATTATCCTCCCCCTCTTCCTCCTCCGCCCTCCCCTCCTCCTCCTCCTCCTCCTCCTCCTCCTCCTCCTCCTCCTCCTCCTCCTCCTCCTCCTCCTCCTCCTCCTCCTCCTCCTCCTCCTCCTCCTCCTCCTCCTCCTCCTCCTCCTTCTTCCTGCGCCTTGTTTCCGTACAAACTTGAACCTCCTCCTTCTCCTCTTCCTCCTTCTCTTCCTCCTCCTCTTCCTCCTTTTCCTTCTCCTCCTCCTCCTCCTCCTCCTCCTCCTCCTCCTCCTCCTCCTCCTCCTCCTCCTCCTCCTCCTCCTCCTCCTCCTCTTTCTCCTCCTCCTCCTCTTCCCCCTCCTCCTCCTTACTTCTCACCTTCTTTCTCTGCTTCTTTTCCTTGCTCTGCCCAATCCGGACTACGTTCAGTACCTTACGAGCTAAGCCACCTTCCTTCTCTTCCTCTTCCTCTTCCTCCTCTTCCTCCTCCTCTTCCTCCTCTTCCCCCTCCTCTTCCTCCTCCTCTTCCTCCTCTTCCTCCTCCTCTTCCTCCTCTTTCTCGTCCTCCTCTTCCTTCTCTTCCTCCTCTTCCTCGTCCTCCTCCTCCTCTTCCTCATCAGGAAAAGCTAGTCCCGAAACAACAATGCTACCAGCGTTGGACGGCCCTGGCAAGGATATGGCAGCAGCAGCATCGCCAGAGTTGGCAGCATCAGCATTAGCAGCGGCATCAGCAGCAGCAGCAGCAGCAGCATCAGCAGCATCAGCAGCAGCATCAGCAGCGGCATCAGCAGCGGCATCAGCAGCGGCATCAGCAGCGGCATCGTCTCCCAAGCCTGCAGCGTCGTCCTTGGGTACCAACTCCAAACCCTTTGCACCGTTTTCTCTCCTAGTTGTCCCCATAAACTCATCCTCACTCTCACTCTCACTCGCACTGCTTTCCCCATTGCAGTCACTGCTGCCTTCTTCCTCCCCATCATCTTCCAGTTGATCAGTTTTCTTAACTTCCTCGTCGCCCTCTGCTCCGTCTAACTCCTTATTCTCCAATCCCTCTGCTCTCTCATAGCTCTTTTCTCCATTCTCTCCCTGCACTCCCCGCCCATGCATGTCACCCATCATCCCATCTTCTCCCAACGCCCCTCCCCCTGACTCATCTCCTGCCCAAATCCCACTACCACCACCCACTCCACTCCCCCCACCCGTGTCAAAGCCCCCAACTACACTATCCCAATCACCGCCACTAACTCCCATCTCCCCCGCTCCTCCCTCCTCTTGCACCCCCTCCCTCCCGTGTCCAACAACCCCCTCCCGCCTTCCACTGCCAATCCTTCCAACTCCTCCCCTCCTCGCACGATACTCTCCCTCACTACCGTTCCCTCCTCCCTCCTCAGCCTCCCCTCTTCCCCGTTTCCCTCCTCTTCCACCTTTCCCTCTTCTCACCCCCTTCCCTCCTCTCCTCCTCCCCGTCCCTCCTCTCCTCGCCATCCCATCGCGCACGTCCACGCTTAGCTGCTCACCGGCCATGGCAAGCAGATCGCTGCCCTCCTTGCTCTCCCGCATCATAGCCACCACCTGCCGGCTCACAGCGCAGTGCACCCGCCCATCGCACCCCACCACCATCCACGACCTATCCTCCTCCTTTTCCACCTGCTCGTCCTCTGCCACCCACACCACATTGCTGCTCGCATTGTCGCCACCTGTCGATTCTCGCTTCTTTCCCCTCTGCACCATTTGGATTTGATCATCACTCCCACTGTCAGTGTCTTCATCCTCATCCTCCACTCCTTCACTATCCCCCTGCTCTTCACCTCTCACCTCCTCCTCTTCCTCCTCCTCTTCCTCCTCCTCTTCCTCTTCCTCCTCCTCATCCTCGTCACTATCAGCACCACCTACCTGACCAGGCAGCCGCAGCAGCAGGTATCGGATCTCCGGCTTACCCGTGTCATCTTTGCCCGCCTCCACTCGCCCCACATGGTACAGCCCCGCATACATGAAGCTACACTTCACTGTATCTGCCTTCTCTGCTTTCTCCACTGCACTAGACGCCACGGCAGTGCCGCTTCCTCGGCTCCTTCGGGCTCTTGTGTTGCGCAGATGCCATTGCTGCTTCTCTTGCTGCCACTGCTGCTGCAGCTGCTGCAGCTGTCTGGAACTGCAGCCTGGTACATGGTGGTGCTGAGCGTCCGCAGATCGCCCCTGCCACTCCCCCTCCAGAACCACGCGCACAGGCAGTCCTGCAATGGCACTGTGCAGCAGACTCGTGTTATACTTGAGGTTCAGCCGGTTCTCACGTGTCCTGTCACTGCCACTGCCAGCCCCCGGATGCTTGAACCACATGGCATCATACGCAGCAGCAGCAGCCTCATTCCCCTCCCCTCTCCCACTATCTCCATTACTAGCCCGTTCCACGTCCTCCGAATCCGTCTCATCCTCCTCTGCTTCCTCGCTTGCGTCCCCCCCGCCCTCATCTTCCTCTCGTGACTTGCGTTTCCTTGTCTTGATCTTCTTACTCGTGCTCCGTTGCGGCTGCTGCTGCTGCTTCAGTTGCCGCTCCTGCTGCTGCTTTCGTTGCTGCTGCCCTGTTGATCTCTTACCCCATCCCTGCAAGCCCCAAGAGACCTCATCACCACCACCACCACCACCACCACAAAGACCATCACCACTAGCACCCTCCACCTTATACACAATGCACGTTGCCACAGGCACTCCTCCTTTCACAGCCTTACCTCCTCCCCCGCGCACTCCCCTTTTCACTACTCTCCTTCCATCTTCCCCTCCCCCTCCCCTTCCTATCCCCCCACTGCCCCCCATAGCCCAGCTCTTCGCCAGGATCCAGTCCACCAGGCCAGTGATCTTGCCATTCACCCCTAGCACCTGCATCTCCTCCCGCCACGCGAACCGCATCCCCACAAACAACCCCGGCACGTGCCCCAACCCACACACGCTTGCACGCTCTTTCATCCACAGCACCACCTGCGGGTCCTGCCGCGCACTGCTCCACATATCCGCACGGTTCACCTTCCCCTCCTCCACGCCCCTGTTCACAAACCTCTTCAGCGTCAACAGCAGCCCCTGCTGCATCGCCCTCAACCTCTCCCTCGCCGTTTCTTCCTCTTTCTCACTTTCATCCCTCTCTCCATCGCTTCCTGGAGCGCACCGGCCACCGGCTCGCAGTGTGTACTGCTGCCGCTGCGCTGTTCTCGGCAGTGGCCGGACAGGGTAGGCCAATCGCTCACTCAGGTCCGGCAGGGGAGAGCGGATGCGCACAGGGATGAGCTTGCGGGGGGGCAGGGGAGGAGCAGCAGCCGAGGAGAGTGCCGGGTCTGAAACCATGGTGGTGTGCGGCACACCTGTCTGCGGTGCGGTGGTGTGGGGTGTGGTGGTGTGCGGTGAGCGTGCATCAACTCCTGCTTCCTCCTGGCCTTCTTCCCCTCCCTCACTCCTCCCTCCATCCCTCCCCTCTTCCCCCACCACCTCCTCCACCTCCCTTTCTCCCTCCTCCATCCGGTCTGCTCCATTCTCGCCCCTGCCCCCCACTGCACCACCACCAGCATCACCACCACCAGCATCAGTGCCGTCCAAACCCCGCAATCTCTCCGTGCCTTCATGCTCCTCGTGCGTGGGCATGGGCATGGGTATGTGCGCCGGCATGTGTGCCGGTGTGTGCGTGGGCATGTGTGTGCTTGTGGTTGCTGTGGGCGTGCGTGTAGGAGAGAGTGTGAGAGCATGTGTGTCGGCACTCTCCTCGGAGCTCTGCCTCACCAGCAGCTGCAGTGGGCTTGAGCTCACACGCACCATTGCAAGACTCTGCTCGCTGCCTGCTGCTGCTGCTGCTGCTGCTGCTGCTGCTGCTGCTGCACCTCCTTCTCCCCTTCCCCCTACTCCTGCTGCTGCTACTCCTCCTTCTCCCCTTTCCCCTGCTGCTGCTGCTGCTGCTGCAACTTCGTTTCTTACAGGCCCACCACGTGCAGTTCTCCCCTCCAACTCCTCACCGCTCTCTTCCTCACTCTTCTCCTCCTTGCTCTCCTCATCCTCCTGGCTAGTCTCCTTCGTCCCTGCTTCCATCTCCTCCTCTTCCTCCTCTTCCTCCTCCTCGTCCCCCTCCTCCTTACTTCCATCACTGTCCTCACACTCCTCCTCCCCCACACTCTCACCTAGAGTCACTCGCACATGTGTGTCCCCATGTTGCTCACTCCCTTCACCCTCGCCCTCCTTCTCATCCCTTTCCTCCATTTCTTCCGCTTTCTTCTCTTCCCCCTCTTCCTTCTCCTCCCCTCCTTCCTCCTCTTCATCCCCTTTCTCCTCTTCCCGCTCTTCTGCTTCTTCCCCCTCTTCCATCTCTCCATGCACTTGTTTATGCTCATCCTCATCCTCCCCCTCAACCTCCTCCCCCTCCTCCTCCCCCTCAACCTCCTCCCCCTCCTCCTTCACCTCCCCTTCCTCACCGTCCCCATCGTCCTCCCTTCCCCTCCCAAAACGGCCAATCACCCCTCCCCCTTCCACCGTCTCAACACCAATCCGCTTCTTCCCACTTCCTTCTCCCCGACGGCCCTCCGTCTTCCCATCCGCACCCCTCCCTAATACACTCTTCCACAGCTTTCGCCGCCTCCTCAATTTCTCCATCCACCTCCACGCACGTGCCCCTCCTTCTCCCGGGACACCCTCCCGTCTCTTCTCTGCCATCGCCCCAACCTCCAACGCTCCGAGTGAAATAGACTCCATCGACTTCTTCATCTCTCTCAAGGACTTCAAGGCAGATTTTTTAGGCTCCTCAGAAATAGACTTCATGGACTCCATGGACTTCAAGGACTCCATGGACTTGTTGATCTCTCTCAAGGCAGACATACGCTCCTCCGTGATCGCTCTCCACGCAGCATCATCAAGAGCCTTTCTTGCCGCTGCTTCTTCCTCTCCCTCCTCCTCTACCATCCCCTTCACTCCCGCTACTGCTCCAACCACGTTCAACAGAATCTCTCCCTCCTTTTCTGCATCAGCTGCCGCTCTTGCTGCAACCTCTGCCCTCTCGGCCTCTTGTCGCCTTCGCTTACTCTCCCTTTTCCACCTCTCCCTCCTGCTTTTCCTTTTCCTTGCCAACTTCTCCTCACCATCACCAGCCGCTGCCGCAGCATCCATCGAACCCCCATCACCACCACCACCACCACCACCACCACCACCACCACCACCACCACCACCACCACCACCACCACCACCACCACCACCACCACCACCACCACCACCACCACCACCACCACCACCACCACCACCACCACCACCACCACCACCACCACCACCACCACCACCACCACCACCACCACCACCACCACCACCACCACCACCACCACCACCACCACCACCACCACCACCACCACCACCACCACCACCACCACCACCACCACCACCACCACCACCACCACCACCACCACCACCACCACCACCACCACCACCACCACCGGCACCGCCGCCACCACCACCGCCACCGCCACCGCCACCGCCACCGCCACCGCCACCGCCACCGCCACCGCCACCACAATTTCCACGACTACCAGCAGCATCAACACCGCTGCTCCTCACACCGTTGCTCTCCCCACCGTCCCGTTCAGAATCTGCAGCCGCCGCAGCCGCGGCATCAGCAGGAGGAACACAAGCATCACTTCCACCCCCCTCAACTGCTGCCGCTCTTTCCTTCTCCTTATTCTCCTTCTCCTCCTTCTCCTTCTCCTTCTTCTCCTTCCTCTTCTCCTTCCTCTTCTCCTTCCTCTTCTCCTTCTTCTTCTCCTTCTTCTTCTCCTTCTTCTCCTTCTCCTTCTTCTTCTTCTTCTCCTTCTTCTTCTCCTTCAGCTTCTCCCACCACTTCCTCGACTTCTCCTTCTTCCTCCTCATCCTCTCCTCCCTCTTCTCCTTCGCACTCCTTTCCTCATTCTGCTCACCCTTCTCCTCTCTCAATCCATCCGCAGTCACACTTACTACGTCCTCCTTCTTCCCCTTCTTGTCTTCCTCGACCAAGACACCATCAGCACCACTCTCTTCCTCCGTATCCACCTGCGCCTCGCCCTTCCCTACCGTACTCTTCACGTGCCTCTCACTTCCATCCTTCCCTCCTTCCCCCTTCCCTTCCACCTTTCCTTCCACCTTTCCTTCCCCCTTCCCTTCCACCTTTCCTTCCACCTTTCCTTCCACCTTTCCTTCCACCTTTCCTTCCACCTTTCCTTCCACCTTTCCTTCCACCTTTCCTTCCACCTGTTCCCCTTCACCCTCCTCCTCGTCCTCGTCCTCCTCCTCCTCCTCCTCCTCCTCCTCCTCCTCCTCCTCCTCCTCCTCCTCCTCCTCCTCCTCCTCCTCCTCCTCCTCCTCCTCCTCCTCCTCCTCCTCCTCCTCCTCCTCCTCCTCCTCCCCCTCCCCCTCTTCCTCCTTCCCCTCCACCTCATTCCCTACCTTCTCACTCCCTTCCCCAACCACCCTCTCCTCCCACCGCCCAGCACCTCCTCTTTCCACATCCAAACCCTTCTGCACTCCCTCTCCCTCCCCTTCCACCTCTCGTTGGCCCATTTCCTCACTGCTAAGTTTCCTCGGCTCCTTTTCCCTCCTCTCTTTCCTCTTCTCATTCTTATCCTTCTTCTCCTGCTGCAGACTCAAGCACTGCTCGTCGTCGTCCTGCGTCACCCTTTCTTCCGCCTCGCCTCTCCTGCTTCCCACCTGCTTACCCAACTTCTTCTCGCCCTCCACCGCTTCCCCCCCGTCCTCCCAACCACCTCCCACGTCCACCTTCCTCTTTCCATCATCCCCACTTCCCTTGCGCCCCGAACGCCCCTCTCTCGTCCTCCTCTGCTTCTGCCCTCCCTCTTCCAACCCCAACTCTCCCCTCACCTCCTCCTCGTCCCCCCTATCTCGCAAACTCTCCTCTCCTCGCCGCACTTCCACCGCCGCTGCACCTGCATGGTGAACCATCACCATCGCACCCGTCTTCGTTTGCCTCTCTAACTTCTCGGACTTATGAGGCGCGTCAAAGGTAGTCTTATGAGGCGCGTCAAAGGTAGTCTTATGAGGCGCGTCAAAGGTAGTCTTATGAGGCGCCTCAAAACAAGTCGCTGCACCTGCACGGTGAACCATCACCGTCTCACTCCTCTCCATTTGTCTCTCTAACTTAAGAGGCGCCTCGGACGACGTTTTACGAGGCGCCTCAAAAGAAGTTGCTGCACCTGCATCATGAGCCATCATCGTCTCACCCCTCTCCAATTCTCTCCCTGACTTATCCTCACCCAGGCTCACCTTCCCCGCTGCATCTTGCTGCGGTGCCTTCATTGCAGCTGGCCTCATCCCTCCACGGTCTACGAACACAGGCAGCAGAGGACTGGCGCAGGCACTACTAGGAACCATCGCTACTGCTGCTGCCGGTGCTCTTGCCGGTGCTCTTGCCGGTGCTCTTGCCGGTGCTCTTGCCGGTGCTCTTGCCGGTGCTCTTGCCGGTGCTTCTGCAGCTCCAGCAGCAACAGGTGCAACAGGTGCAGCAGCAGTAGCAGCAGCAGCAGCAGCAGCAGCAGCAGCAGCAGCAGCAGCAGCAGCAGCAGCAGCAGCAGCAGCAGCAGCAGCAGCAGCAGCAGCAGCAGCAGCAGCAGCAGCAGCAGCAGCAGCAGCAGCAGCAGCAGCAGCAGCAGCAGCAGGAGCAGGAGCAGCAGTAGCAGGAGCAACGGGAACGGCACGAGCAGCAGAAGAAGAAGCAGCAACAGCAGCCTGAGCAGCAGTGCGTTCCTGAATGTCCCGTCGCAGCACAGCCTGAGCCCGCTGCACTGCCTCGAGCGCACTGGCTGCTGCACGCACTGCCGCTGCTGACAGCTGCTCGTGAGGAGCTTTAACGGCGGCAGCAGCAGCAGCAGCCTGAGGAACAGGAGCTGAGGCCCTGTTAACGCTGACGTTAACGTTACCGTTGGCATTGGCATTGACGTCTGGGCTTGGTCCTGACTTGTTGCGATCAGCAGGCTCACCAGAGCGTGTTGGTGTTGCTCTGCTTGCCTGTAGACTCGTCGATTCCGCACCACTACCAGCAGAAGGAGCCGCAGCTGCAGCAGCGCTCTCAGTTAACCTGTTCCCACGCTCCCCATGCCCGTTCTGTCTCATGCGTTCACCATCCTCCTCCCTCTTCGCGCTCGCCCTCTTCACGTGCTCCCTCGCGCCATTCTCCCTCGCCTCCTGCCCCCTCTTCTCCTCACCATCCCTCTGCTCCTCATACCCCTCTGCATGCCTCCTCGCATACCTTGGATCATGCCCCTTGTCATGTTCTCTCTTGCCATGCTGCCTCACCCCTCTCTGCTCCCTCTGCTCCTTCCCTTCACTCAGCATCCTCTCATAACCTTTCACATCCACTGCTCCACACAACTCCTCTTCATATCCCTTCCTCCCCTGTTCCATCTCCCTATCATCCCTACGACTCCAGCCCGCTCTCCCTTTCCCCTCTTCCCATTCCTCGCCCTCTTTCCCCTCTTTCCCTTCCCTCCCCCCTTTCCTCTCCTCCCTGCCCTCCCTCGCAGCTACATCGCCATACTTCGTCCCGCTCCCGCTCCCCAACCCCCTTCCCCCTCTCCACCTCTCCCTCTGCCTCCCGCGCAGCCTTTGCTCCCCCGTCCCCCCCCCTCGCGCCAGCGGAACCTCATCCTCGATAAAGTACGTCTCGGGACTTTGATAGAACCCGTGCTCGTGCAGCCGGGTCAGAGCGGCGAAATCAGCAGCAGCAGCGTCAGCGTCTCCGGCCTGGCCCCTGGCACTGCCACCATCACCACCAGCAGCAGCAAAGGGCAGATTCCCTTTCGCACCTCCGCCTTGCCTGCCCCTCCCATACCGTCCCTCGCCCTGCCTCTCCAGGCCCTCACCCCTTGCACGATCTCGCAGAGTCCCCTCGTGCTCCCCGCCATCCTGCCTCCGCTCCATGCCCTCCCGCCCCTCCCGCCCCTCACGCCCCTCGCGCCCATCCCGCCCGTCCCGCCGCTCGCGCTTCTCGCGCTCCCCCCACGGGCAGTCCAAGGTGCCGTTTCCCGCAACTCGGCGCGCCTCTACCTCTCCCCCCAGTCCTCCCAACAGTTCCCCCTGCCCGCCTCCCCCCCGCCCCTCGCTTCCGCGCCTGTGCAACCCCATCCCGCCGCTATCTCTGTTTCCCCCTGCTCGCGGCTCTCCGCCTCCCCCAACTGCCTGCTGCTGCGCGCTTCCGCGCGCCTGCCCGCTTGACCGACCCCCACCTCTCCCTCCGTCGTGCGCCTCTCCCTCAATCACGTTGTGAATCGTCATTGCACTCTGCTGGAACTCGCGCGAATCATGGGGCTCGCGAGGGAAGGCGCCGCCACCGCCGCTGCCGCTGCCGCTGCTGCCAGCGTTGTGGACGGAGCTTCGGCTGCTGCCGCTGCGCCCGCTGCTGCGCCCGCCTCTGTGGGCAGCGCCTCCTTTTCCGCGGACGCCGCCAGGCATGCCCCTGCCTCCGCCTCCCCAGCCCCCGTGCCCCTCGCCCCTCCCGAGATTGTCACCTCTTCCGTCCCTCTCGATATAATCACCTATTCCTCCCCTCCCGCTATAATCAACCCTTCCCCTGTCACCCCTCCCACCGCCACCGCCTCCCATCCCATCAAACCCCTCAGCGCCCTGCTCCCCAGCCCCCCTCCCGCATGCCGTATTGTCTCCTCGCCCCCTTCCCCCTCGGTCCCCCTCCCAGTCTTCCCGCCCATCCCCCCAGGATTTCCGCCGGCGCACATTTTCCTCCCGATCGTTCCGGGGGGGGCTGCTGGAGCGGCACCGCCTTCCGCCCTCCTCTCTTAACCCCCACTCTTCCCCCGCCCTCCCCCTGGCGGAGTCCCGCGTGAGCTCCCCCTCAGCCCCCGCCTCTCCCCTTCCCTCGTCCTGTCCCCGCTGCGGGGAAAAGTCGCGGCTTTCGAGGGCTGAGGGGAGGGGAGAGGAAGGGGAAAGGGGGAAACGGGGAGGGAGTGGAGGAGGGTAAGAAGAGGGGGTGGTGATGGTGGAAGAACGGGTGGGGTTTGAGAGAGGGAGAGTGGATATGGGGGTTGGGAGCGGGTAGCGGGTAGTTGTGAGCAATGTAGCAGAACTGGTCATCTAAACGGCGGAATGAAAACCCGTTCCATGCGGACACAGAAGAAAGGTGGTCGGCCAATGGCGGAAACCCAGAACCCCGCTGTACACCAACAAACCCCGGTAATACCCTCGATACGCCAGTCGAATCAGCACGCACTTGGTGGCGACGATGGGGATGGACGGGAATTGCCTGGCGAAGAATAGGTCTTGGAGACAGCCGGGCGCTCGTACGTGAAGCGCGCGCCTGTGGAATCTCGGTGGTCTCTCTGGTCTCTGTGATTATCGCTGCCCGAGTTGTAAAAGGATCGGGAATACGCGCGAGCGCCGCGATCAGAGGGGATATGCGTCATCTGCAGAGCTTACATATTGCGGTGATTGCATCAGTAATGACTCGACCTAGCAATGTGGTGTGTGGAGGACTTGACCGTCTATTTAGTCACGCCAGCCAGAAGCACACGGAACGGCTTTGCGTGCCACTTCAAAGGTGACGAGTCTTGACGAGTGCGACTGATGGCAGGGCTAAGTTGACCTGAGCCGAGCCTTGCAAAAACGTGTTGATGCTGTATGGTCGGCTAAACCCTGTATCCTCTGTGTGTGTGTGTGTCCGCGCCAATTCAGGTGTTCGATTCTGCTTGCTTGCTGGGATGAGGCGCACACCAAACATGGCATGGACCGGAGATGGGCGGGGCTGGGGATGACGTGGGAGGTGAGGCGAGGGGACAGGACGAAATCTATACTGAAAAGGCTAAAGCGAAACGAAATCTATACTGTATAGGCTAACGCGAAAACGACACAAGCAACAGCTGACAAACACACACAATTGTAAAACAAGTGCTGTGTGCTGCTGTTGGTGCGACTTCAGGTGCGAACTGTGTTATGACCCGAGACTGGTTACCTGAGCGTTCTCTGTCGCAGCAATCACCTGCAGCGCAGCGCCTCCACCACTGTTTTTTCAGGGAAACAATCGGACCTTCGACCATTTTTGCGTTGCCCAACTCTGTAAAAATATGAATATTTTTAAAAGCTGTAACGCTTTTCAAAAAAATTGTATTTGGAATATTTCGTTGCGATTTCCAACTAAAGTCGTGTTGGAGTCCTGACAAGTCATCATCAAATACTGCGTTGGTTGTTGCGCCCTCTGTTCCTTGCAGATTGCGTCGTCGGGTAGTGGTGTGGATGCGGCAGATTGCGTTGTTGGTTGTTGCGCCCTCTGTTTCTTGCAGTCAATGCACGCCGCCGATCAGTGCGCACTTGAGGTGAAACAGGTGGGAAGTTCTGGCCGACGGGGAAAGGGGCACTGGGAAACATCTCAACACTGGGATGACCGCCAGCAGCAGCAGCAGCAACCATGGCAGCTTGAACAGGGTACCCAAGAACAGGGTATCCAGGAGCAGTACCACCACTACTATACTCCATACCAGGGAAGAGCCCGTATGGTCTCAAGTGACTCACGCTCCCCATGGCAAGTGGCGCATGCCCATGGAGGTGGGATGGCATGGAGTGGGGAGGAAGCGTGGCAGTCTGAAACGGCTGGAATGGAAGGTGTTGCTGATGAAGCATGCCGGAGAAATGAGGAGGAGGAGGAGGAGGTGGAGGAGGAGGAGGAGGAGGGAGAGGAGGAGGAGGAGGAGGAGGAGGAGGAGGAGGAGGAGGAGGAGGAGGAGGAGGAGGAGGAGGAGGAGGAGGAGGAGGAGGAGGAGGAGGAGAAGGAGGAGGAGGGTGAGGGGTGTGAGCAGGAACAGAGGGAGTAGAATTAGAATGCCAGCTGTGAGCAGGGTAGCAAACCACTCCGGGGTGGAATGAAGCTGGGTCAGCAAGACCATGCAGCCCATGCAGAGCATTGGAGGAACCCCCATGGTTCTGTGGCTGCACCACATTCTCCCTCCCACCATGGCTTGCTGACGTGTTCCACTCTGCTGCCACCCCTGCTGCTGCTGCTGCTGAGGCCGATGCTACTGCTGTTGCTGTTGCTGCTGCTGCTGCGACTGATGCTGCTACTGCAGCTCCAGTTCCTACCAGCACCCCCCTTAGCTCTCCCATATCATCTCCTCTGCTTCCAACGGGCTCTGCCCTTGTGCCACCCTCTGCCCTTGTGCCACCCTCTGCCCTTGTGCCACCCTCTGCCCTTGTGCCACCCTCTGCCCTTGTGCCACCCTCTGCCCTTGTGCCACCCTCTGCCCTTGTGCCACCCTCTGCCCTTGTGCCACCCTCTGCCCTTGTGCCACCCTCTGCCCTTGTGCCACCCTCTGCCCTTGTGCCACCCTCTGCCCTTGTGCCACCCTCTGCCCTTGTGCCACCCTCTGCCCTTGTGCCACCCTCTGCCCTTGTGCCACCCTCTGCCCTTGTGCCACCCTCTGCCCTTGTGCCACCCTCTGCCCTTGTGCCACCCTCTGCCCTTGTGCCACCCTCTGCCCTTGTGCCACCCTCTGCCCTTGTGCCACCCTCTGCCCTTGTGCCACCCTCTGCCCTTGTGCCACCCTCTGCCCTTGTGCCACCCTCTGCCCTTGTGCCACCCTCTGCCCTTGTGCCACCCTCTGCCCTTGTGCCACCCTCTGCCCTTGTGCCACCCTCTGCCCTTGTGCCACCCTCTGCCCTTGTGCCACCCTCTGCCCTTGTGCCACCCTCTGCCCTTGTGCCACCCTCTGCCCTTGTGCCACCCTCTGCCCTTGTGCCACCCTCTGCCCTTGTGCCACCCCTCTGCCCATCACTCTCCCTTCTGCTTATCTGCAACCCCTTTTCTTCCACAATATCCCCTCCACCCCCCTCGCTTCCATCGACATCCAAATCCACTTTCTCAACCTTCACCCATTTTGCTTTCTCCCCTTCACCCTTTGCACAACCACTCCCAAAGACACCCGCATCCTCTCCCCTCTCTTCTCCCTTCCTTTCCCTTCTCCTTCTCCGCTCCTCTCTTCTTGACCTCTTTGCTTTCATCGCCTCGCCCTTCCCCTCCTGAAGCCCCTCCCCTTCAACATCCACCCGCTCCTCTCCTCCACCCCCACTGCCTTCTCTTCTCCCATCACACTCCCCCAACACTTGCCCTCTTCTCTTCTTCCCTGTACCCGCATCTCTCACCCTCGCCCCATCCTGCAAGTCACTGCTACCACCAACCCTAGCTACTCCCACGTTATCTTCTCCCTCATCCATCTGCTCTTTCACCTTCCTTCTCTTCCTTCTCCTTTCCCCCTCCAGCGGCCCCTCCCCCCCTCTAGTCGGCTTCACAGCAGCAGCATCACACACTCCTTCCTCACTCAAACTCTTCAATCCCTTCTTGCTTCTCTTCCCTACCACCACCACCTCCACATGTCCCTTGCCTCCTACAGCATTCTCCTCCCCACTCGCAACAACACCCTCTCCTGCCTGTACCACCCCCTTCTTTCTGTCCTTTTCTCTCCTCACCCTCTTCGCCTCCTTCTTCCTGGTCCGTGCCTCCTCCAACCCCTTGCCACTTCTCCGCACCTCATCATTACAGAGCTTCTGACTCCCAGTTTCTTCCTCTTCCTGATTTTCCTCCTCCCCTTCCATCTTTTCCTCCTCCCCTTCTTTCGTTTCCTCCTCCTCCTCCTCCTCCTCCTCCTCCTCCTCTTCCTCCTCCTCCTCCTCCTCCTCCTCCTCCTCCTCCTCCTCCTCCTCCTCCTCCTCCTCCTCCTCCTCCTCCTCCTCCTCCTCCTCCTCCTCCTCCTGCTCCTTAGTCTGCACCTTCTTTCTATGCTTCTTTTTCTTCTCCTGCACATTTTCCTCCTCTTCACTGCTCCCTCCTTGTTTCTTGTGACCCTTCTTACTCTTTGAACTTGACATAACCACCTCTGCCTCTGCCTCTTCCTCTTCCTCTTCCTCTTCCTCTTCCTCTTGGTCCTCCTCCCCTTCCTCCTCCTCTTCTTTCTTTTCCTCCTCCTCCTCCTCCTCCTCCTCCTCCTCCTCCTCCTCCTCCTCCTCCTCCTCCTCCTCCTCCTCCTCCTCCTCCTCCTCCTCCTCTTCCTCCTCTTCTTCCTCCTCTTCCTCCTCCTCGTCCTCATCAGGAAAAGCTAGCCCCGACACAACAATGCTACCAGCATTGGACGGCCCTGGCAAGGGTATGGCAGCAGCAGCAGCAGCAACAGCGGCGGCGGCATCATCTCCCAGTCCTGCAGCGTCGTCCTTGGGTACCAACTCCAAACCCTTTGCACCCTTTGCTCTCCTCGTTGTCCCCAAAAGCTCCTCCTCACTCTCACTCTCACTCTCATTCTCACTCTCACTCTCACTCTCACTGCTTTCCCCATTGCAGTCACTGCTGCCTTCTTCCTCCCCATCATCTTCCAGTTGATCAGTTTTCTTAACTTCCTCGTCGCCCTCTGCTCCGTCTAACTCCTTATTCTCCAATCCTTCTGCTCTCTCATTGCTCTTCTCTCCCTCCTCTCCCTGCGTACCCCGCCAATGCATGCCGCTCTTCATCCCATCCTCTCCCAACGCTCCTCCCCCTGACTCATTTCCTGCCCCAATCCCACTACCACCACCCACTCCACTCCCCCCACCCCTCGCACCCCCAACAGCTGCACCATCCCAATCACCACCACCAACACCCATCTCCCCCGCTCCTCCCTCCTCTTGCCACCCCGCCCTCCCCTGTCCACCCGCCCGCTCCCGTCTTCCACTGCCTATCACCCCAGCTCCTCCCCTCCTCGCACCACACTCTCCCCCAATGCCCTTCCCTCTTCCCTCATCCCCGTTCCCTCCTCTCACCCCGTTCCCTCCACTCCCCCCGTTCCCTCCTCTCCCCCTTTTCCCTCTACTCCCGCCCTTCCCTCCCCTCTCCCCCGCCCCTCCGCTCCGCGCCATCCCTTCGTGCACGGCCACCCTCAGCTGACAAGCCATGTTAAGCAGGGACCTGCCGTCCTCGCCCTCCTTCACCTTCTCCACCACCTGCCGGCTCACAGCACAGTGCACCCGCCCATCGCACCCCACCACCATCCACGACCTTTTCTCTTCTTCCTCCTCCTCTTCCACCCACACCACATTCCCCACATCGTCGCCAGGTGTTGCTTGCGCTGCTGCTGCTCCTCCTCTCTCTCCTCCTCCTTTTCCCCAATGCCGCTTCTTCCCCCTCTGCACCTCACTCTCACTGTCTTTCTCCTCTTCCTCCTCTCCACTGTCACACCCCTCCTCACCCTCCTCCTGCCTCTCCCCATCCTCATCCTCTTCTTCTTCCTCCTCCTCATCCCCCTCGTCACCACCACCTGCCGCACCCGCATCACCTCCCTGACCAGGCAGCCGCAGCAGCAGGTATCGGATCTCTGGCTCCGGTACCTTGACATCCTTGTCATCCTTGTCATCCTTGTCGTCCTTGCCCGCCTCCCCTCGCTTTTGAGTCGACTCAGAAGCAGTTGCACCCTTGTCAACCTTGCCCGCGTCCCCTCGCTTTCGAGTCGACCCAGAAGCAGGTTCACGTTCACCCTTGCCAACCTTGCCCTTGCCAACCTTGCCCTTGCCAACCTTGCCCTTGCCAACCTTGCCCTTGCCAACCTTGCCCTTGCCAACCTTGCCCTTGCCAACCTTGCCCTTGCCAACCTTGCCCTTGCCAACCTTGCCCTTGCCAACCTTGCCCTTGCCAACCTTGCCCTTGCCAACCTTGCCCTTGCCAACCTTGCCCTTGCCAACCTTGCCCTTGCCAACCTTGCCCTTGCCCTTGCCCTTGCCAACCTTGCCCTTGCCAACCTTGCCCTTGCCAACCTTGCCCTTGCCAACCTTGCCCTTGCCAACCTTGCCCTTGCCAACCTTGCCCTTGCCAACCTTGCCCTTGCCAACCTTGCCCTTGCCAACCTTGCCCTTGCCAACCTTGCCCTTGCCAACCTTGCCCTTGCCAACCTTGCCCTTGCCAACCTTGCCCTTGCCAACCTTGCCCTTGCCAACCTTGCCCTTGCCAACCTTGCCCTTGCCAACCTTGCCCTTGCCAACCTTGCCCTTGCCAACCTTGCCCTTGCCAACCTTGCCCTTGCCAACCTTGCCCTTGCCAACCTTGCCCTTGCCAACCTTACCCTTGCCAACCTTGCCCTTGCCAACCTTGCCCTTGCCAACCTTGCCCTTGCCAACCTTGCCCTTGCCAACCTTGCCCTTGCCAACCTTGCCCTTGCCAACCTTGCCCTTGCCAACCTTGCCCTTGCCAACCTTGCCCTTGCCAACCTTGCCCTTGCCAACCTTGCCCTTGCCAACCTTGCCCTTGCCAGCCTTGCCCTTGCCAACCTTGCCCTTGCCAACCTTGCCCTTGCCAACCTTGCCCTTGCCAACCTTGCCCTTGCCAACCTTGCCCTTGCCAACCTTGCCCTTGCCAGCCTTGCCCTTGCCAACCTTGCCCTTGTCAGCCTTGCCCAGCTCCACTCTCGCCACGTGGTACAGGCCCGCATACATGAAGTTACACTTCACTTCCTCTGCTTTCTCGCCTACACTAGACGCCACAGCAGCAGCAGCACCGCCGTCTGTTCTGCTCCTTCGGGCTCTTGTGTTGCGCAGCTGCCATTGCTGCTCCTGTTGCTGCTGCTGCTGCTGCTGCCGCTGTTTGGAACTGCTGCCTGCTACATGGTGGTGCTGAGCGTCCGTCCGTCGCCCCTGCCACTCCCCCTCCAGCACCACGCGCACAGGCAACCCTGCAATGGCACTGTGCAACAGACCTCGTGTTATATCTGAGGTTCGTCTGGTTCTCACAGTCCTTTACATCCCAGCTAGTCCCGGGAATCTTGATCCATAGCGCACCATACACAGCAGCAGCAGCAGCAGCAGCAGAGTTCGCATGCTCTTCCCTGTCGTCGCAATCCTTCTTCTCGTCCTCTGCGTCCTCGCTCCCATCCCCCTCATCCTCATCTTCCTCTCGTGACTTGCGCTTCCTTCCCTTGCTCTTACTCGCGCTCTGCTTCTGCTGTCTCTGCTTCTGCTGGCTCTGCAGCTGCTCCTTCAATCCCTTACCCCATCCCTGCACGCCCCCGAAAACGCCATTACCACAACCACCACCACGACCCCTTTCCACCTTATGCACAACGCACGTCGCCACAGGCACTCCTTTCCCACCTCTACACCCTACCCCTCTCCCACCTGCCCCTACCCCTCTCCCTTTTGCTCCCCCGCCCCACCTCAAAGCCCAGCTGTTCCGAACCACCCAGCCCACCTTGTATTTGAATCTGCAATTCACGCCCAGCACCTGCATCTCCTCCCGCCACCGAAACCGCATGCCCACAGGCACACCCGGCACGTGCCCGAGCCCGCACCCGGGCGCACGCTCCTTCATCCACTGCACCACCTCCGGGTCTTGACGTGCCCTTCTCCACAAATGGCTTGGGCTCGTTTCGTTAGTGAACACGCCCTCGCTCGCAAACCGCTGCAGCTTCCGCACCAGCCCCTGCTGGATCACTCTCACCCTCTCCCTCGCCGCCGCCTCCTCCTCTTCCTCCTCCTCCTCCTCCTCCTCCTCCTCCTCCTCCTCCTCCTCCTCCTCCTCCTCCTCCTCCTCCTCCTCCTCCTCCTCCTCCTCCTCCTCCTCCTCCTCTCCCTCTCCCTCTTCGTCCCAGTCTTCTTCCTCCAGATCTTCTTCGTCATCCTTCTCTCCATACCTTCCTGAGCTGCCCCTGCTCCTGCCCCTGCCCCTGCTCCTGCTCTTGCTACCGGCTCGTCTTGTGTGCGGCAGTGCTGCTCGTGGGGGTGGGCAGACGGTGTAGTCCAATCGTTCACTTAAGTCAGGTAAGGGAGAGCGGATGCGCACAGGGATGAGCTTGCGGGGGGGAAGGGGAGGAGCAGCAGCAGAGGGGAGTGCCGGTGCCGGGTCTGCAACCACGGTGGTGTGCGGCACGTCCGTCTGCGGCGTGGTGGTGTGCGGTGAGGTGGTGTGCGGTGAGCGTGCTTTATCTCCTGCTTCCTCCCCGCCTTCTTCCCCTCCCTCACTCTTCCCTCCACCCGTTCCCCCCTCCCCCACCACCTCATCCACCTCTCTTTCTCCATCCTCCATCCTCTCAGCACCATTCTCATCCCTGCGGCCCCCCACTGCACCACCACCACCAGCACTACCATCACCACCCCTCTGCCTCACCCCTCTCTGCTCCTTCTGCTCCCTTCCTTCACTCAGCTTCCTCTCACGCCCTGCTCCACTCAACTTCTCGTCATATCCCCTCCTCCCCTGTTCCGTCTCCCTGTCATCCCTATGCCTCCAGCCCTCTCTCGCCGCTACAGCGCCATACTTCGTCCCCCTCCCCATCCCCAACCCCATCCCCACCCCCCTCCCCCTCCCCCTCCCCCTTCCGCTCTCCCTCCGCCTCCCGCGCAGCCCTTGCTCCCCCGCCCCCCGCCCTCGCGCCAGCGGAACCTCATCCTCCATAAAGTACGCCTCGGGTCTCGAAAAGAACCGCTCCTCATGCAGCCGGGTCAGAGCGGAACAATCAGCAGCAGCGGTGCGGGCGGATGGATCGACACCTCCGGCCCGGCCCCTGACCCTGCCACCATCACTAGCAGCAGCAGCAGCAGCAGCAGCACCAGCAAAGGACAGACTCCCGTCCGCACCTCCGCCTTGCCTGCCCCTCCCATACCGGCCCTCGCCCTGCCTCTCCAAGCCTTCACCCCTTGCACGATCATGCAGCGTCCCCCCGCGCCCCTCACGCTCATCCCACCCATCCCGTCTCTCGCGCTTCTCGCGTTCCCCCTGCCCGCCTCCTCCCCGCCTCTCGCCTCCGCGCCGGTGCAACCCCATCTCGCCTCTGCCTCCGCCTCCCCCTGCGCGCGCCACTCCGCCTCCCCCCACCAACTGCTGCTGCGCGTTTCCGCGCGCCTGCACGTCCGACCGACCCCCACCCCTCCCTCCGTCGCGCCTCTCTCCCTCAACCACGTTGTGAATCGTCATTGCTCTCTGCTGGAACTCGCGCGAATCATGGGGCTCACGTAGTAACGCACCGCCCCCTCCCCCGCCACCGCCGCTGCCGCCGCCGCCGCCGCTGCTGCCAGCGTTGTGCGCGGAGCTTCGGCTGCTGCCGCTGCGCCCGCTGCTGCGCCCGCCGCTGTGGGCAGCGCCTCCTCTTCCGCGGACGCCGCCAGGCATGCCCCTGCTTCCGCCTCCCCAGCCCCCGTGCCCCTCGCCCCTCCCACTATTCTCAACCGTTCCGCCCCTCCCCAGATTGTCACCTCTTCCCCCCGTCCCGCTATGATCACCTCTTCCCCCCGTCCCGCTATGATCACCTCTTCCCCCCGTCCCGCTATGATCACCTCTTCCCCCCGTCCCGCTATGATCACCTCTTCCCCCCGTCCCGCTATGATCACCTCTTCCCCCCGTCCCGCTATGATCACCTCTTCCCCCCGTCCAGCTATGATCACCTCTTCCCCCCGTCCCGCTATGATCACCTCTTCCCCCCGTCCCGCTATGATCACCTCTTCCGCCCCTCCCCATATAATCACCTCTTCCTCCACTCCCGCTATTATCAACCCTTCCCCTGTCACCTCTCCCACCACCACCGCCTCCCATCCCCTCAAACCCCTCACCGCCCCGCTCCCCAGCCCCCCTCCCCCATGCCACATGGTCTCCTCGCCCCCTTCCCCCTCGGTCCCCCTCCCAGTCTCCCCGCCCGTCCTCCCAGGACTTCCGCCGGCGCACATTTCTCCTCCGATCGTCCCGGGGGGGGCTACTGGAGAGGCATCGCCTTTCGCCCTCCTCTCTATCCCCGCACCCCGCTTCCCCCGCGCTCCCCCTGGCGAAGTCCCGAGAGAGCTGCCTCTCAGCCCCCCTCTCTCCCCTTCCCCCGTCCTGTCCCCGCTGCGGGAAAGATTCGCGGCTTTCGAGGGCTGGGGGGATGGGAGAGGAAGGGGAAGCGGGGAGAGGGTGGGGGAGCGTGAGAAGAGGGGGTGGTGATGGTGGAAGAACGGGTGGGGGTTGGGGAGAGGGAGGGTGGATATGGGGGTTGGGAGCGGGTAGCGGGTAGTTGTGAGCAATGTAGCTGATCAGCTAAACGGGGGAAAAAAACAAATCTATCATAAGCAAACACAGGAGGAAAGGTGCTCGGCCAATGGCGAGAACCCAGCACCCTGCGGAGCACCAACAAACCCCGCTAATACCCTGAACAAGCCAATCAAAACAATACGCACGTGGTGGCGACGAGGAGAAGCGACGGAAAGTGCCGTGCGAAGAATGCTTCCTAGAGAGAGCCGGGCGGTCGTACGCGATATGCGCGCCTGTATGATCTCGGTGGTCTCTGTGGTCTCTGTGATTGTCTCTGTGAGAGTTGTGAAAGGATTTGGAATGCGCGCGAGCGCCGCGATCCGAGGCGAAATGCGCCATCTTCAGGCGAAATGCGCCATCTTCAGGCGAAATGCGCCATCTTCAGGCGAAATGCGCCATCTTCAGGGCTTACACATTGCGGTTATTTAGATCAGTTACGGAACTAGCAATGTGGAGGACTTGATATTCTAAATCACCAAGCCAAGTCAGCCAGAGGCACACGGACGGATTGCGTACCGAAAGTCGCCTCTAGAGGTGACGAGACATGACACCTGCGACCGATGACAGGGCTAAGTTGACAATTTCTTATTACGGCTGCCGGGGCCTAGCAATGGCGTGCCTGCCTGCTGTGTATGGTCGGCTAAACCCTGTATCTCCCGTGCCAATTGCGGTGGGTGTGCGTGCCCGCCAATTTGGGTGGTGGATGGAGGGGACCCGTGGATGGTTGTCATGGTGATGATGGGATGAAGCGTTGTATCAACAAACATTGGAAGGATCGATAGCATCATGGCAGTGCTGGGCTGGGGCTGGACATGGCAGGGATTGGAGATGGGTGCGTTGGGGGGGTGACGTGGGAGAAGGGGCAAGGCGACGAAAACGAATCTTGCAACAGCGAAGATGAACAAAGGGGCTAATGCGAAAGAGACACAAGCAGCGAAGAAATCTTGATTTCTATTACCTTTCTATCAAACAGCTGAGGCATGGAGATTCAGAAAACGATGTCTGCTGTTGTTCAGGTGCTGTTGTTGAGTTATTTCGCCATGACCTGAGTATGGTTACCTGAGCGTTCTCTGTCGCAGCAATCACCTGCAGCGCAGCGCCTCAACCATTATGTTTTTGCGTTACTGCCGGACCAATTTACATTGTCGATGGTTATTTTCAATCAGGAATTGTCCTCGCGACCCATACAGTGACCCTCAAAATGTTTCTTTTTTCGTCGATAATCTGTACTGATTATACTCTCGGGCACCTATCTCTACCTTTATTTGTGCTGTTGCAGGAGAACTGCCAAATTCCTGTCCATAGCAGAACGCAGTTGCAGGTCTTGTCGGTTCAACCAACAAAAAGCGAGCTCTCACTGGTTCCTGAAACTAAGAAGTCCTCGCGAAGTTCTGTGACCATACAGAAACAATCTCCTGCTTTGCGAGAAAATCGACGTCGCTAACGTGCTGCTGCCACAGCTCAATCGGCCTGAACGATGAAAGACGACAGTGCTCAAACCTCCTGTTGTGACGCACTAACGAAAAGACGACAGAACAGTGTAACATGCGACAGTGATTGGTTGGGCTCTTGCTCCCCTTGGGCTTCTCCCAGCCCGGCAAAACCGTGGATGTGTGTGCGCCTGACCTCATCTCACCTCCCCCCAGAAATCCAGCATCTGCTGCTCTGCTCTGCATTCATTCCTACCATCACCTTCTTGCTGCCTGCCTCTTTCTCATCGCCATCAGAACTGGACGGGAACAGTACGCATATCCCCATCGTGTGGGCTTTTGTTATACAGAAAGCATTCCCCGCTCAGTCTACCCACCAGTGGCCTTGCACAATGGCCTGCGATGAGGCGACGGACCACGGCTAGCTCATATTCCCGCTAACTTATCGCCGGCGTCACTGCATGCGGCGTGTGACATGTGACGTCGCGCATCACAGACCATGGCTCCCACCTCTGTCCGCGCTCATCTCTCGCACAACTCCCGATTTCACCTGTTCGCCTTTGCCTTCCGTCGCGCGCGACGGTTGAGAGGGTAGGGTAGGAGAAAGCTTCCCAGCGCTAGTTCCATAGCAGTGTGCAGGGGTGGGGGGTGAATCGGCAAATCCTCGGCAAGACTATCTGTGCGCTACAGTTGTCTTGCCAGACTCTCCACGAGTGTATCAGTGTGTGGTTGTTCCTGCAGCCAGCTGCTCACAGACCGTCAGCCTCCATTCGCTCTCCATCGGCTTACTGTGGCTCCAGCTATACCTCGCTCGCTCGCTCTCTCGCTAGCTCGCTCGCTCTATCAATCCATCGCTCACCACGCGCACCCATATTAGCTAGTCCTCTTTCTCGCACATATTCCGGATCTCAGTGCTCCGCTGCGACTCCTAACTTATTCGTGTCGCACAACCGTCGCAGAACGCCGTAGGCGACGCAAGCACGGGCGTGCCTTACTTCGGTCCCCGCGCGCTCGCTACTCGTCCGTTTCCTTGTCCTCGTTTCGCCCACCTCGCACTCCACTCTCCATCCCGCTTTTCCGCGTTTCCTCCGCCATCTCAACCCTGCGCGCGGCGGGCCAGTACGCAATCATGGCGCCCTTCCGCCGCTCTGCGGAGCGCATGTTTCCGCCATTGCTGATGCTGGCGGTCATTGGGGCGCTATGCTGTCGTGCGGGGCACGCCGCAATCACGGTCGAACAACCGAGAATTCGGGTAAGTGCTCTTGCTGCTGTTATCACTACCGCTCCGAGAATCATGCCGCGGTAATTATACCACCCCCCCTTTCTCCTGCTTTCCCACGGGTGCCGTGCTGCTTTGTGCCTTCCTGCTCTGCCGATCCACAGTGCATTTGCCCTCCCACCTTTCCTCCCCTCTCTCCTCCCCTCCCCAGCCTCCTTTTTCTTTACCCCACCCACATCGCTCCCCCTCTCCCCCCCCTTCCCCTCTCCATCGTTCCCCCTGTCCGACGCAGCACGAGCAGCACACGTGCGGGAGGGAGCAGTGCGGGGGAGAGGGGGCGGCGCAGCGGGGAGGGGGGAGGCGGCGGATAGCGGAGGAGGTGGAGGAGGAGGTGGTGACAGGATGGTACCGGGGGGAAGGTGCTGCTGCTGCCAGTGTCGCTGCTGCTGCTGGTGTGGCGGCTGCTGGTGTTGGTGCTGGTGCTGGTGCGGGGGGTGTGAGCCGGTACCTCAAGGAGTCGCACCATGTCGTCAGTGCCATGGGCATGGTGAGATGGCAGAGACAGGTATAGCTTGTGCCGTGCCGTGCACCAGACGTGAGTGGCCTGTTGGCCACGGATGGAGGATGGGTGGGCAATGGCATGCTTGCATATGGTATTTGAACGAGCACATTTTCCAGAGGATCTCGTGATTGCCATGTCACATGATTGACTGCCATGTTGAGTCATGCAAATGGGCCTGTGCCATCATCCCTTCTCCCAACTCCCACCTGTTACACAGCATCGTCACCATCTCCCACTCATCACACACGCATCCTCCTAATGCGTCCACCACCCCTCTCCTCACCTCTCCCCTTCCCAAACTTCTCCCCGGTCCCATCCTGCTCCCCACCTCCGCATTCCCCTCTGCGCCTCCCCCTGCGTTCCCCCCTGCGCCGTGCCCTCCGCCAGGCCACGACACAGGCAGTGACACCAGCGCCCAAGCTGCGCAAGTGCCAGAAGCTGCTGCGAGAGGGCTCCTTCAGCCTCAACCGGTGGGCGCGCGCAGGGGCAGGGGCACACACAGGGTGTAGCGCGCGCAGGGGGGGCAGGGGGGGGCACTGAGGGGGCACCGAGGGGGATCTTGGGGGGCACTGAAGGGGCACTGGGGGGGCACTGGGGGGGCACTGGGGGGGCACTGGGGGATCTTGTGACATAATTTCTCAGGGAGCTGCAAAAACCGGGGGGCACTGGGGGGTTTCTTAAGAGTGACTGGCACTAGGGATGGGGCCTTTCAGGGGTGGCTCGTTATTTTGCGGTGCTTGATTGATTGATTGTGGGTTGTGATGGCGTGACCGTGTGTGGTGGGGTTTAAGCTCCGAGACCATACATGCACTAGGGCTTGACTGAAGGGGTGAGGAATGCGCGGGATGGGATGGGACGGGATGGGAATGGGATGGGTTGAGAATGGGATGGGTTGGGATGGTATGGTATGGGATCACAGCATGGGGTGCGAGTGGGGGAAGGAGGGTAATGCTCAACTGATTCCTCTCCCATCTCACCCCTCTCTTCCCCTCTCCCCCGTTCCCCTCTCCCTACTCCCCCTCCCCCTCCCCTCTCCCCCGCCCCCTCCCCCTCCCCCTCCCCTCTCCCCCTCTCCCCTCTCCCCCCTCCCCTCTCCCCTCTCCCCTTTCCCCTCTCCCCTTTCCCCTCTCCCCTCTCCCCTCTCCCCTCTCCCCTCTATCCTCTCCCCCTACCCTCCCCCTTCCCTCTTCTCCCCTCTCCCCCCCCCTCCCACCTCTCCGCCCCTCAGGTCCTCCTATTTCATAGGCCTCAACTTCGGTCCGCGCAAGCAGCTGTTCTACCTGCGTCTGGACAACCTCACGCCAATCACCTGGTTCACCTGCGACTGCGTCACACCCACCTCCTGCCGCACTGCCGGCACCGTCCTGCCCGTATGTGTCGTGCTGCCCCCCGCACTGCCGCCACCTGCTGCTGTGCCTGCCAATGCCATGCCGTGCCATTCCGGCCCAACCCCCATGCGCCACTCTTTCTCCTCTCTCCCCTCCCCGACTCCCCTCCCCACTCTCTCCACCCCTCCGCGGTGCATGCTGTGTGGGAGCAGGAGCGGCCGCCGTACAACACAACAGAGAACGGGGCGACGGCAGTGCTGTGCGACGCCGACACGTGCAAGAACAACACCGACCGCCCCGCACCCGGCCTCAAGATCGGCTGCCAGGTGCGCTGCTCTGCCTGGGGGGTGGGGGGGGGCGGGAAGGGTGGAGGGAGGGGGTTGGGTGGAAAGTGTCTTCTCTTCTTTGAGAGGAGAGTCAACTCAAAAGGATACGTGCCACAACAGCACCGACCGGCCTGCACCCGGGGGCTGAATTGGCTGCCAGGTTCGCCGCTCCGCCTGGCAGGGCGTTTGGCTGGAGTGTGTAAGGCGCGGCCAGGGCATGGGCAGGGCACGCGGGCAAGGGCAGGAGCTGGGAGAAGCATAGGGCTGCTGGGTGCTGCTGGGTGCTGCTGGGGTGGATGGGTGGGTGGGCAGTGCCCCCACTTAGGACGAGAGTTGACGCCTCTCTCTCTGCCCCCATACTCGCTTACTCTGCTCTTGCCCTCCTTCACCAGTCCTCCCATCCCTCCTTTCCCTTCCTTCCCCTCCCCTCCCTTCCCTCCGCTCCCCTACCCTCTCCCTCCCCTCCCTTCCCCTCAATCCCTCCTTCCCTTCCCTCCCCTCCCCTGCCTCCCCTGCCTCCCCTCCCTCCCCTCTCCCCTTCCCTCCCCTCCCTTCCCCCCCACTGCCCTTATCTTATCCCACTCACCAGGTGGCAGACCAGATCCCGTCAAAGCTGGGCAAGGGCAAGTGCGAGTACCTGCACCTGCACACCATCGTGCGGTCGCCTCTAGGGTCCATAGGCAGCCTTCCCAACAAGGACGGCACCAAGGTGGGCAAGAGCTACGGCATCTTCTACCCCGAGAACGTGTGGCTCACCCACATGGACGGCTGGACCGTCAGCCCCGAGCTTGTTGTTGGGTGAGCTGGGTGGGGAGGGAGGGGGTTGAAGTGGGTTGGAGTGGGGTGAGTGGAGGTGCAGGGGGGTGGTGGGGGTCTGTGGGAGTGCAGAGACTGGAAGGTGGTGGGGGATGGTGGGTGGGACGAAAAGGGGCGGTGGAGGGAGTTGGTGTTTTTTCTGGTGCTGAAGAATTCTCCTGTGCAATTCCTTTCACGGAGTCCTCACTAGCTACTCAGCACCAGCCCCTACCGCTCATCCCCCCTCCCCCCCCAACGCACGCACAGCTGCGGCATGGTGCAGAAAGGAGCGCTAGGCGGCTACACCGAGGTGCCCGACGGGGTCTTCGGGCTCGGGTGGGGAAAACTCAGCATCCTCTCACAAATGGCGGACCTGGGCGTGTGGGAGAACAGCTTCGGGCTGTGCTTCGAGGGCGACATGGGGCTCAAGGGCGGGTCGTACCTCAACTTAGGCGACGCGCTGATAGATGGGTACAGCGATACCATCCCCATGCGCCGCATCTTCCCGAGCCCCATGTTCTTTGTGGACCTGGGGGAGGTGCGCATGGGGAGCAAGGTGGTGAACGTGCCGGCGGGGACCTTTGGGAAGCCGACGCCCAAGGCGGAGGGGGGCGTGGTGGTGGACCCGTTTACTACTGTCACGCGCTTGCCGCCCGTTGCGCTGCTCGCTATTAATGAAACGGTACAGTGTGGTGGCAATGGGGTGGGGTGCGGATGGGGTGTGGTGTGGTGCGGTGTGGTGTGGTGGGGTGTGGTGCGGTGTGGTGTGGTGTGGTGGGGTGTGGTGTAGATGAGGTGAGCTATACATGGTGTATGGTGCTGGGGTGTGCATGACACATGACATGATGCGTTTATGGTTGCATCACTCTCACCCCTGCGGACCGCATATGATTCACACCCTTTCCTTCCATTTCTTTCTTTTCGTGCCTGTACTCTCCATGCCTTTCCCTCCGTGACTTTCCCTCCGCGCCTTCCCCCCTTATGCCTTTCTTCACCATGCCTTTCCCCCCCATGCCTTCCCCTCCCATGCCACTCCCTCCATCCCTTTCCCCTCCATCCGTTTCCCCTCCATGCCTTTCCCCCCCATGCCTTCCCACCCTGTGCCGGCACATATGCAGCTGGTGGGGTTGATGCCCAATCTGACGTACGACAAGGGCAACTCCAATCAAAGACCTTCGGACTCATCTGCTGGTGAATTTTGAGTCCACTCAATATTCCCTCCTTTCCTTATTCCCCCATGCCTTTCCACACTGCGCCCGCACACATGCAGCTGGTGGGGTTGATGCCCAATCTGACGTACGATAAGGGCAACACCAAGACCTTCGGCCTCATCTGCTGGAAGGGCGCGCCCTACAAGCAGTCAGTGCCGCCCCCACCCCACCCTCCTGCTGCCTGCTGCCTGCCTGCCTGCCTGCCTGCCTGCCTGCTTGCATCTGTGTCCTGCTTTTTCCTCTTGCTCGCATCCCTTTCCCCACATCCCTTGCTTGCCCGCTCTCTCAAATCCTCTCCTCCATAACTCCCAAGCCCTTCCTCCTGTACTACTCCCCACATCCCATCCACTTCCCACATCCGCGCAAGCGAGAGCAGGAAGAAGCTAGAGCTGTTCTACCCACAGTTCCCCAACTCCCTCCTGTGTATTCCCCACACCCTCTCCCGTCCTGCATTATCATTTCCTCTCACATCCGTCTGACTGAGATGAGAGCAGGAAAAAGCCAGAGCTGTTCTACCCACAGTTCCCCAACATGCAGCTCGTCTTCCCCAACAACACCATCTTCTACGTGCTGCCGCAGTCCTACCTCATTGCGGTACTCCTCCCCCCTCGCCCTCCCCCCTCGCCCTCCCCCCTCGCCCTCGCCCTCGCCCTCGCCCTCGCCCTCACCCTCACCCTCCCTCTCCCATCCTCTCTCACATTCTCCCCTTCACTCACTTCCCCCCCCTCACTTGCGTTTGCTCCCTCACTTGCTTTCCCTCTCCCTCAGTTGCCCTCCCGACCTCACTCGCTCGCTTCTCTTTTCCTCACCGTCTTTGCCTGCTCTGATCTCTCCTGTTCTAATCTGTTCTGTCTCCAATCTCCTACTTGCCGCACGTCCCCCACTGCATGCCGTGCATTCCTACATGTACCCCATGTGCACAACCACACTCCATGCCCTTGACCATACCCATGCTGCTGCATCTAATCTGCTATCCTGGTTCATCCACCCACCCACCACCACTCCACCCTGTGTACGTGAATGGCAGAACATCACCACGGGCAAGGTGTGTCTGGCGGCAGCAGAGACCACTGACAGCCGCACCACCATTGGCGGTACGCACCAGCATAGGGCAGCGCTTGCATGCAGTGGGTCTATGGCTGCTATAGCTGTCCCCTGCAATGCTGCTATGGCTGTCCCCTGCAATGCTGCTATGGCTGTCCCCTGCAATGCTGCTATGGCTGTCCCCTGCAATGCTGCTATGGCTGTCCCCTGCAATGCTGCTATGGCTGTCCCCTGCAATGCTGCTATGGCTGTCCCCTGCAATGCTGCTATGGCTGTCCCCTGCAATGCTGCTATGGCTGTCCCCTGCAATGCTGCTATAGCTGTCCCCTGCAATGCTGCTATGGCTGTCCCCTGCAATGCTGCTATGGCTGTCCCCTGCAATGCTGCTATGGCTGTCCCCTGCAATGCTGCTATGGCTGTCCCCTGCAATGCTGCTATGGCTGTCCCCTGCAATGCTGCTATGGCTGTCCCCTGCAATGCTGCTATAGCTGTCCCCTGCAATGCTGCTATGGCTGTCCCCTGCAATGCTGCTATGGCTGTCCCCTGCAATGCTGCTATGGCTGTCCCCTGCAATGCTGCTATAGCTGTCCCCTGCAATGCTGCTATGGCTGTCCCCTGCAATGCTGCTATGGCTGTCCCCTGCAATGCTGCTATGGCTGTCCCCTGCAATGCTGCTATGGCTGTTGCAGTGCATGCAAGGAACAAGCTAGATGCCTGCTCCTGTTCTTTGTCATGTGCCTCATTTGTGTGTGTGTGTGTTTGTGCATGTATGTTTGTGTGTCTGGACGCATGCCTCTGTGTGCATGCATGTGTGCATGTGTCCATGTGTTCATGTGTGCCTGTGTGCATGTGTGCATGTGTGCATGTGTTCATGTGTACATGTGTGCATGTGTGCATGTGTGCATGTGTTCATGTGTGCATGTGTGCATGTGTGCATGTGTGCATGTGTGCCTGTGTGCATGTGTCCATGTGTGCCTGTGTGCATGTGTGCATGGGTGCATGAGTGTATGGGTGCATGTGTGCATGGGTGCATGTGTGCATGTGTGCATGTGTCCATGTGTTCATGTGTGCCTGTGTGCATGGGTGTACGCGAGCATGTGTGCATGCCTGCATGTGTATATGGGTGCATTTCTGTACACATGCATGCATTTCTGCATGTGGGTGCATGCATGCATGCATCAGAGTCATTCCTGCGCAACAAGATGGTCATATACAACTACAAGGACAGCACCATATCATGGGCAGACATGAACTGTACGTCTCCACCACCTCACCTCCAATCAACTCCTCATTACCACCTTCCTCTCCCTTTCCCTCCCTGCCCTCCCTTCCCCCCTTTCTCTCCGCCCGTTTCTCTACCCTTTCCCTCCATTCAATCCCGTCTTTAAATCCCATGTTCTCACATATGCTCGGCCCCTCCCGCCATGGGCCCCCACCTTCCCACCCACCCCCCCAGGCACCACTGGAGTACGCTTCTTCAACTTCACAGCCAAACCCCCAGGGCTCATGCCCCCACCTCCTCTCATGCCCCCCCCCATGCCTCCCCCGAAACCCTCTATCGCCTTCCCCCCTCCCCCCCTGCCAAAGCCCCCGCCTCCTGCACCAAAACTCCCCCCACCGTCACCCCCCACACTGCCCCCTCCCAAACCAGCTCTCCCTCCCCCAATTAAACCCCCAGTTGCTCCGCCTGTCCCTCCTCCCCTTCCCCCCAAAGTCACCCCTCCCCCCTGGACCAAGCCTCCCCCCGTGGTGACCACCCCCCCTCCTGTCGCCACTAAACCCCCCCCTGTGATTGCTGCACCCTCCCCTCCTCCTCCTTGGACTTGGCCCCCCAAAGCTTCCCCCCCTCCTTGGACGTGGCCCCCCCAAGCCTCCCCACCCCCCTGGACGTGGCCCCCTAAAGCTCCCCCTCCTCCTTGGACTTGGCCCCCTGATGCCCCGCCTCCCCCCTGGACGTGGCCCCCCCAAGCTCCTCCCCCTCCTTGGACTTGGCCCCCTGATGCTCCCCCTCCCCCTTGGACTTGGCCCCCTGATGCTCCCCCTCCCCCTTGGACTTGGCCCCCTGATGCCCCGCCTCCCCCCTGGACGTGGCCCCCCCAAGCTCCTCCCCCTCCTTGGACTTGGCCCCCCGAAGCTCCCCCTCCCCCCTGGACTTGGCCCCCTGATGCCCCCCCTCCCCCTTGGACATATCCCCCCGAATTTCCCCCACCACCCGAACTTCTTCCTCCTCCCCCTCCTCCTGAGACCTCCCCAGCTTTCCCCCCATCGCTCGTGTCCCCCCCACCGCCATACCCTCCTCTTCCCCCGTTACAATCACTCACTCAATGGTGGGTCAACCCGCACAAGAAACGCAAGACGCCGCCCCCGTTTGAGGCCCCTGCTTCGTGGACTATCTGGCCTATGAATGATGCAGCAGCAACAGCACCCCCCACTCCTCATAGAGCACAGGTGAAGGGAAAGAAGAACAAGGTAAATGGCCCGCATGGTGCAGCAGGGTCGAGAGCTAGTGTTGCTGTGGAAGGGGGAGATGAGAAGGGGAAGGATGGGTTGCTGGTTCGGGAGGAAAAGAAGAAGGGGAAGGTGCATGAGAAGAGGGACCCAGGTGTAGCAGGGTATAGAGCCGTTGTTGCTGTGGAAGGGGGAGATAAAGAAAGGAAGGATGGGCTGGTGGTGCAGGCAAAGAGGGAGAAGGAGAGAGTGCATGCTAAGAGGAACCCAGGTGCTGCAGGGTCTAGAGCCGCTGTTGTTCTCGAAAAAGGGGAAGATAAAGAAGGGACGGATGGGTTGTTGGTTCAGGCAGAGAGAGAGAAGAAGAGGGTGCATGAGAAGAGGGACCCAGGTGCAGCAGGATCTAGAACCGTTGTTGCTGTGGAACGGGAAGATGAAGAGGAGGATGGTTTGCTGGGCCGGGCAGAGAGGGAAAAGGAGAGGGTGCATGAGAAGAAGAGGAATTACGGAGCAATGGAAGTTGAGGGTGTAGGGCAGCACCACATGCATCAACGTGTAGCACCGTAGATGTGAAGGGTGTATCCGGAAACCACCGTCGGAAGTATTTGACTGTATTATATGATACACTTGGCACAAGTGATTCTTCCTCCACATACGGTAAGGATGGCTGTAATGTTGGTGACCTGGGCAACAGGGCCTCAGATTCGTTTTGGCCTAGGCTGACTGGTCAACCTTAGGAGTGTGTTCATGGCTGATCTGTCAGTGTTGTTGTTTAAAAAAAAACTGACTTTTCAGGGTGTATATTAAAAAAAAAACTGAACGATCAGCGTCACTATTTGGTGAAGACTGAACCATTTCAAACAAGTTCTGCATTGATATAACAAACGTTTACAGGAAATCTAATTAAACATATACTCATCCTCTTCATCATCATCACCCTCTTCACTATCACTAGAGCCTAAAGAGAGCGCCGCGGCCAGCGACGACCGCCGCCATGCTAGCTTCACGGGCAGACCGCGGCCCGTGAGGCACCATGGCGACGGGGGAAAGAGACAATCGGCGAGGCGAGGGGAAGGCGAGGCTGCGCGACGAGGGGAATGCGGGACGACTGGAGGCTGCAGGGAACGACGCGGAAGTTTGGCTCTGGGGAAAGGAAAGGGAGGAGAAAAGAAATATCTCTATCCTAAATCGTACTTACCTATTGGGCATACTGGTGTGTTGCTGCCGCACTGATGGGCTGCAGAGGAGAGCTGCAGAGGGATGCGGGTGGAGAAAATACGGAGAGGAATACGGGAAGCACGAGGGAGTGAAAGCGGAATCGCGGTTCCCTCTATCCCTCGCAACTCCCTCTCCCACGCAGCTAACTATCTCCCTCGCAGCTCACTCTCTCCGTCTCAGCCTGATCAAACGGAAACGAGGGAACCAAATGCGGGGGGCGATGAGGAGTAACGAGAAACAAATGTCTGTAGATTCGTACCTACTAAGATGGCGTTGCTGCTGAGCTGAGCTCACGGGCTGAAAAGGAGTGGGTATTCCCGTCAAGGAATATGCACGAACGAGAAGTGCAGCTCACGGGCTCACGGATCATCGTACAGCGACGACCAGCTGCGACGCCAGCTTCGCTGGCGAACGCGGCCCGCACGGCGCCATGGCGACGGGGGGAAGGGAAGCGTGGCGCAGCGAGGGGAAGGTGAGGCTGCGCGATGAGGGAATGACGCTAGGCGAGAAATACACCTGTAGAGTAGAAGAAGAACCACTTCTACTCTACAGGTGTCCAGTACAAGTGCCTTGCATCTCCAAGTGGAGGGACGAGAGGGAGAGGCTGCTGCGAGCGATGCAGGCGCCGAGAGTGGGGAGATGCTCAGAGCGAGAAAAGCGAAGGTGAAGGGAGTGAAGATCCAGGTGGGTGAGAAAGAAGCGGACGGTCTGCGACCAGTGGGGGTTTCATCTACAGTTGGTACAGGAAAGAAGAATCTCTACCGTATCCTTGAGCCAAGATACCTTCGCGAGAAGACAGCAGTGGAGTGAAAGTTCGTGAATGACCATTCCCGAAAGCGTTGGCAAGGAATCTTGCCATTTCGGCGTGATTGACGGAGGGACGGTCGAACCGGTGTACCTAGACATCCGGAATTCAGGGCACCTACGCTAATCTCCATTACAGGGATTTCAGCCAACCCCTTCGTTACAACTCTGATGAGACAGCGTACACGACAGGAAAAAAGCTGATCGATTTAAAAACCCTGAAATTTCAGCAAACACACTTACGGTAAAAAAAAAGCTGCCACAACAGCCCCACTATTCTCCCACCACTGAAATCACAGCCTTTTTACCCCTAATCAGCCTTTTTTCGCTGACTTCTGAGGGCCTGCTGGGCAATCAACGACTTTGCTGTGCCTTCTATTCCATCCGTGTATTGCTTGTTCTGTTGGGCTCTGGGCATTGGGCAATCAACAACCGTGCTGTGCCTCCCGTCCATGTATTGCTTGCGTTGTGCAAGCACTGGTAAGCAGTTGTCATTTTATCATGCTCTGACAATCTCTGAATTGGAATCTATGAACTGGTGTCAGTAGTTTTAGTCAACTTGCAATCTCTAAGACAAGAAACAGGGCGACAAACAACATGTACTAGACAAGCAAAAAACCAAGGGAAGCGGCATTCAGTGGCTCAGTGCTGCTGGCCTGTCCATGCGGCCAGAACTACCAGCACTCCTGCAATGTGGAGTACAGTAAGAGAACGCAGGAGTCATGTGGAGCTGTAGGGTTGAGCAATCAAGAAATTTGGCCGACCATTGATGACCATTGATAGAAAACAGGGAAACGAGGCTACGGTAGCAAACAGGTGAGTGCGTGCTTGATAAAAATCAGAGACACGTGCGTGAGGAACAGAACATGGAAACCAAAACAAATCTGCATAACGATAGAAAAGAAAAGAAAAAAAAAGCAGTGTGAGTGACAATCCAGTGAGCAAATTCACCTTTCCAGAGGCCTTCACTCGCTGTCTTCGTCACTATCCCCCCCTCCTCCATCAGAACCACTCCCCTCCTCATCATCCTCGTCGTCACTCTCCTCCTCACTGCTCCCACCTCCTCCTCTTGCCACAGGCGGCGGAGGCGGAGCTCGTCCGCCCCTCCTAGTGCGGCTGGGGAGGATGTTCCGCGTATCCACTGAATCAGGCGGCTCCTCTACAATCCGCACGCGATCCGGATCATCGTCCTCGTCATCGTCATCCCCGCGCCGTTTCTTCCCTCCCCCCCCGCCTCCGCCTCCGCTTCCGCGCTTCTTCTTCTTAAGCCGCTCGTCCTCGCTCTGATCGCTCGCCTCGTCCTCCTCGTCGTCCTCGTCGCTTTCGCTGCCTCGTTTCGATTTTTTCCTTTGGGCCGGCTTGCTCGGTTTCTTGACAGGCTTCGCACTCTTCTTCGGCCTCCGCTCCTCCTCCTCCTCCTCCTCCTCCTCCTCCTCCTCCTCGCTCCCGTCAAACCCCTCGCTTTCCTCATCGTCGTCGTCCTCGTAATCCGACCCCTTTCGTTTTGGCTTCTTTGCCTCCTTGCCCTTCCCCCCCGAATGATGTTTCTTGTCTGGCTTGCTCGCTCGATCTCCCCCGTTCTTGCCGGAGCTGGAACGGCCCTCCTTCCGGTTGCCGACCGCGCCCGACGTCGGAGCTGCAGCTGGCGGGATTCCGGCTCGGCGCGCTTGCGCCAGCGCCTCAAGCTTCTTCCTCCGATCGTCCATCGTGGCGAAAAGCCGAAATCACCACGACGCAAGAGCAGCCTCGGCTCAACAAGCCTTGGTCAGGCAAAGAAAAAGGCCAACAAGGAAACGTAAGAGCAGAGAGAAACAGCGAATTGAGGCGGGAAATCGGAAAATACCTCGAGGCCCTTAGGGAAGCCTGATGCACAGACCAGCTCAATCGACTCTTTGCTTGGTGGTAGATGGCAACGCCCAGATTCGCTGCCTCAGCCCGAAGAGCCAGATCTGCAATTGCCGCCAAACAACAGTAATTGTTTGAACTGTATACAACGACTTCACCCTGAATTTCATTCAAAAGCGTACAAGCGCACCTCAACCTAAAAACTTATTCCTTGCTCAAGACCATACCCAACCGATCTTTATGCAGTATTGAACCGCTGTGCAACGTAGACAATCTGTATGAGCCGCATTCAGTTGAACGCAGGGGACAGGCCCTCGCAGATCACCTCCCCCTTACCCCCCATGTTTCTCCACAGCTAACCTCTGCGTCGACAGTCGCCTTTTCTTTCAACTTGGGAACTGGGGTGCCGCCATTGCACTCCACCTGCTCACCATGGCGTCATTCCAACTTTTGTCTCAAACCGCATTCGAGTCATATCGGTCGACCGTTTACAGTCTTCGCTGTAAGGAAACTGACTCAATTTCCTGGAATGGGAGACATGGAGCCTCGAGCTCTTTGCCATGGAAAAAAACGATTTTTGGAGAACTGCGTCGAGGCATGTCAGTGGGAACGCGACGAACAGGGGTGCAGATTGAACACAACTGGTGAGACAAATGAGCAGACCAGGGGAAGATCCATGAGAGAGGCACATTTCTGTTCCACTAGCTTGCTTCGCATGTCTCACCCTCGCTAGCCTGTCCACGTGTTCTTTCCTCCTCTGCCAGGTTCTCCCCCATTCCAGTTAACTGCCAAATCTTTCCAGGCACTCGACCAAACTCGCCCGCCAACAGCGGCAGCGACAGCGGCTGCGGCAGCAGCAGCGGTGGCGGCGGCAAAGGCGGTGCACCGAGCGTACTGCTGATGCGTGCATCGGCTCCTGATCACCTTCTAGCTGCTGCCACTCTACGAACGCAGCTGCTTTACGAGTACCCTACTGGTTCTAGACGATCCAACAACACTTCTGGTTCTACACCCATTCCAGAAGCTCAGTCTGCCGGTAGTGGGACATTTGGTGCAATGGAGGAAGCCATAATAGCAGATACGTATGGCCTTCGTCTTAAGAATGAATTCGACAGGGTACGTAGTTTGTGGTCCCTGCAAATGCTCGGCTCATGGTTGTGTCTTCCTCAAAGCATTATTTCCCTCTGACCCTTATTCTTTCTGCAGGACCTTTCATTCCGTTTAGTGAATGCACATGTCTCGACGTATCTTGCTATCTGTCCGTGGGAACATATGGTGCATAGAGTCCCGGTTCCTGCAGAGAGGAATTCAACCTCCTTACTGCAAACGCCTCCGCAACTGGACTCTTCGCTAACAACTTTACCAGATGGTGCACCAGGAGGAGTTTATGCTGCTGTTGCGACTCTTGACATTGATGTGAGTAGTACAGTCCATGACTCTCACGTTTTGTTCATCTACGCGATCTTGTCTGTAGAGCATAGGCACGCCATGTTGGCTGTGCATTTGAATCAGCAACCGCAGGGAAGTTACATTCACCTCTTACTATAACTGTTCCAGGGTCATGGGTCCACAAGCACGATGCCGTTCTTTTGTTTTACGAGTCGAGCCTCAGCTCAGTGAACCAATTATTCCCTGATGCTCTCCGCTCTCTTGAATTCGTGATTTACTTCAGATGGCGGAAGAACTTTCTCACATGGGCTCACGGCCATGGGGCCGTGCAATCCATCGTGCCATAGGAGTCGATGCTGATGTCCCTCCAAGTGCCGACAGGATGGAGTCACCACATTCTCAAGCTCTCTCCGAAGTTGCTTCTGGTGGTACTGCCTACGTATTCAATCTTTGTGTGGCTCCAGTCATGCGGCGTCAGGGAATAGCTCGTGGGCTGCTGTCTTTTGCTCTAGACGACTTGCTGGAGCAGAGGGCACCTTCATCAGTTCATGTCCATGTAGAAGTGTGCAACCATCCAGCAGCGAAGCTCTATAGCTCACTTGGTTTCAACTTAGTTCATGAAGAGAGCCTAGAGGATGAGGAAATGCTTCAGCGACCTAGACGGTGTCTACTCTCATTCTACCCTACAAACTAAACACCATTACCGGTACTAATGAAGACGCAGTTTCCAGATTCGGGCCCATACCGAGCTATATAGATTGCCAGATGGACGATCACATGGACTCAGGAAGAGCTCCTGCTCAATTCCTGCCATCAATGCAAGAGTGGGGCATTAAGATCTTGTGAAGCGGGATCCAGGTCCCTGTGATGCAGATGATCTTTGTTTCTTGAATGTTTGCTGTATTGGTTCAACCACCTGCAAACAAAAAGCAGCATGCAATGAGAAAAAGCATCCAAGGTCTACAGAAGTACCAATGCGTGGAACTTGTTTACGATATTTACCGTGCTGGCTTTGCGGATTCTTGCATTGCTGAAGTTGATGGTGTCCTGGCTTTCTTTCACGAATTCCAGCTCACCAAGCAAGCCAGGTTCAGGTCCCAGCTTCATCTTTTCATAACCTGTTGAGCTGACTTCAGGTGGAGCCTTTCTGGATAACTTCTTGTCCTGATTGTAGGAGACGATTACACATACCGTAATTAGACCGAGGTATAAGATTGACTTTGCATGAGAACATAAGCTTGTATGAGGAGGCATACCTTCGCCAAAGAAGGTGGTTCCTTGAAGCCACTTTCGCTCTTAGCCACTGAAGCTTCCCTTGCTCGAGACCTTGTCATGTCCGAACCCAACGAGCACACCTGAGCCACTGCAGAAGGACTCGCGGTTTTCAGCTGGTCAGCAAGTGGCTTCCTTGTGGAGGGAGATGGGCAAGTGGCGTGTATGCCTCCTTTGGACTCATGCTTTTCGTCCTGCATCCCAGCCTGAATTTTCTTGGAGCGCAGAACCTTCCGCCCTGTGTAGCAGAGTGACCATTGACAGTAATCGGTGAATTTGGAAGCTGCTGGAGAGACACAATTTTCAGATCAGAACGAACCTTTCTTCCTGTTGCTGGCTGCGCTTTCAATGTAGCCTTCAGACCCCATCTGCTCCAATATTTTTTTAACAGCTGCTACAGATGTAGCGCTCCCCAATATTGACTGGAGGTTTGCAATAGTCACATACTCCAGATTGAAGACATGCTCCAGAGCCTGTGTGGTACCGCCCAAGTCAAAACAGAACAGGTTTTGTTCATGCCCTTGGGAACACCTACAGAAGCTATAATCCAATCTGACATCAAAGCAAATGCAAACTTCACCTTGTGATACATCGCAGTGTGCTCATCCGATTCACAGGCATCTGATGCTTTCAAAGGTGGAGCGCTCTGATTCTTCAGGATGGTTTCTTCCTGAAAGCGAAAAAAAGAACCTAAGATTTGTGCCAAAGGTGAGCGATTGAAACATGGTGTTTTGTTCTCACCTGACCAACCACATCTCCATGGACTATGGAGTAAAGGTCTGCGTTCACAGCTTTTAACTTTCCTTCCCTAACAAGCTCCTCCATGATTTCTGGAAAGAGAACCCCATTAATTTGCATGAATTTCTGCAAGTTGCATATTGTCTCGCATACCTTCAATGGAGACCTGTAAATGCATCAATCAAAAGTTAGCAGTCGAACATCAAAACCGAACTTTAAATCAACCAAACCCCGTGGTACCCACCAGAGATGCATCCGGAAAGTTGGCAAACACATCCATGACATCAACGGTAATTGTTGGCCTTGATAGAATCCATGACCTGATGAGACTTAGAGATGCAGTCGGAGAAGTGCTCAACAGCTTAGCTGCACATATAGAAGAGTTGGTAAGTATGCGATGTTTTATTTGAATAAACACATAACAAAAAGGTCTCCACGCACAGGTCTCGTCATCTTGCTTCTTCCCTGGAAGGTCGCCTGCGTCTCTGATGCTTCCCTCCTGGCAGACATGTAACATCCTTCAATAGGACGAGTAGGACAGTTGAATTGAATGAATCTAGAGCCTGCTGACCTTTTCCCCAGAACCCTTTTCTTCTTCGGATTCTGATGACTGGCCCGAAGTTTCTGTTCCATTACTTTGACTGCCCTGCTGCTCCTCATGATTGTCACATGGATCAAGAACACTCCGTACCTGAACGGCTCAACAACAAGAATCATGAACATTTGCAAAATAAAAAGGGGAAAAGGGAGAAACAAAACAAAACAAAGCAAATGATTACTCACTTTCAGGGCTATCGAATAGTGATTGCTGTCAACATCACCAACTTTCATCTTCAGAGGCGTAATAGACCAGTTCAACTTTTCCTTGTCGCCACAGCTTCGGAAAAATGGGGGTTCATAGTCTTCAGGCTGCATTGTCACCAAGTCAGACAGATACTAGGACCTTAGCTCATAACCCAGAGCTTACCGTGACATCCTCGTGATATAGAAGCTTCATAATGATAGTTCTCTGGTACAAAAGAAATCAATTTAATGTCAGTGTCGTTCTTGGTTTTCAACTGGGATCAAGTAAGGTGAACCTCAGGTAGCAAACAGGGCACACCTCAGTTGGAACGTTGTCAAGTGTCCTCATGAGCTGCACGAGCGTCCGAACCAGTTTGCATGCAGAGTTTCTGTGGATGCAGTGACCAGTTTAGCAAAACATAATAGAAGGAAAAGGGGGGGAAATGAAACTAGGAGAAGAAGTGCTTACTTCATTTGTGCTGGAGTCGCATCCGAGCCAACGGATTTGAACGTGGTGTCTCTATCCTTGTTTCCGGACTTCGATATATTCAAAGACACATCCCCAGTCTGAGACGCGTAAGAGAAGTTGACTGCGTGGATAGAAACAGTTTACTTGGTGTTGGTCACAAACGGTAAGAAACAGCGAAAACAACCCACGATCATATTTACATGTATATTCTTCCAAAAGGGACGTTCCATCGGATTCGCATATTGCAAACACCATCGTCTTCAGATATTTCTTCTGTAATGCGTCATAGACACCTGAAATTCCAGCACTGAGGTTAGCTCGTTGCTACAATGATGACGCCGTGTGAAAGTGCAGTGATTTCCCACCTTGTTCCATCCAGTCAATTAGACGCTTCGACTCTGGGTCAACAGGCATGAGCTTCTTGATCTTCATTTCTGCAGAAAGCAGTTGTTGCTAATGCTCAATTCACTCATCTGAGCAATTGTTTTTTTGCCGAAGGATATAGTCTTACCCAGAGCGGGAACATATTTGTCGTCGAAATACTTCTCCGGAAAAAGGCCACGGATATAGCTAATGTTGAATACAGCAATGCGTAATAGGTTTCTTGTCAGTTGCAAAGACTCTTTCTCGGAAATATGGGTCGCCTCGCGAGTCCTTGCTGCTTGCGCGACCACCTGCCACAAGAACCGTTGAAGCAAGGTGGACAGGAAACCTACGCCATACCATTTGTTTCCAATGGAGGAAGCCTACCATGGTGCCGCTGTGAGCGTGGTGACTGAAACGCGCAAGGCAGTTGCTAGTCCTCGAACGAACGAGCAGCAACGAGGGCACTGACTTCAAAATGAAATGACTAGTGAAAATCGTTTGAAAACTGTTTGGTATCGCATCGCCTTGAACAGAATTGAAAATTCCTTCTTGAAAGCTGTTTGGGTATGGCGGTGGGAATGCCGATGACTTTCTTACAATATGTACAGAACTCAAATATCGGAACAAGAGGAGCATAAACATTATTTCATATGGATTGTACATTCTAGACAGGTAAATTTCAAACTCATACCTACATCAGTTCTGTTTTTTTTTTTTTTTCATAGACCACAGAACATTGTCATAAAGGAATGCATACAGACCACACATACATGGCCACAGCACATTGCCATCTATGTTCAATCTGCATGTCTGTTCCAATTCCAAGACTTCCGTTGTAATACACTGTTTGGTCTACACCACACATCTGCCCAATTACCGGTACAACATAATGTGATAAGCACACTGCCTTTCTTCAAACATGGTATTCTAAGTGGCACATGGACAGGACATACTTTCATTTCAATTACTATAGTATGACCAGCACTATGCTAGCTTTCAGAAAAATCCTAACATATGAAATAGAAACTTACAAAATGATCATACAAGCAAACTGCTTTTCATGACTAGCCCTGCCAAGTGCATGAACATGCACGGGCTACAACAGTAGGGTACTGATGATTTGCTGCTGGAGCAGCCAAGCAGCAGAAACAGACAAAGAAACGCTTACACGCATCACGAACTCGAGCAGTAGCCCCTCACATATGGTAGCCAACTGCAGCAAGTGCCAAACTACATGACTTAGAGCACAGTATGGGGATGAAGCAGGAGCAGGATGCAAGTGGCAGCTAGCGTCTTGTGGGTATCATGTGTCTTGCAGCTGGCATTGTGGGAACCTGAAAGAATATTGTCCACAGGGCTGCTGCTGCTGCTGCTGTTGCTGCTGCTGCTGCAGTCACATTCCCAGTTGGGAAGGTAGGCCTGAGCTAACAAATGCCTTGACCAAACAAAGAAGAGGTGCGAAGGTAAGGAGACGAGGCAAGGACATACAGAATCCGCTCCACATATGTTGAGCTGAAGTAAGACCTTTCAGCAAGAGTGAAAGGGAAAAAGTACCCATCCACCAATGGAGAAAGTGCACTTCTCCATAGTTAACAGGTGATGTGCTGCTGTTGCTTGAAACCATTGTTTTTCTATGCCATGTGCTATTGCAGCATCTTATGCCATGGCACATGACATAATAGCAATAAGCCCCCCACAGACACTCCAGCTGCTGCACTCCACGAGGGCAGACCTTGAGCCACAACAATGAACCGAGACGTAAGGAAAACTCCAAGTGGTGGCGGCACCGTCGCCACCGCCGCTGCAGCTGCTGCTAGCGCTGCTGCTACGGCTGCTGATGGCCGCTGCTGCTGCTGCCTGCTGCTGGCGCTACGTAAATCTGACCTGCTTTGAGCAGATCTCGCCTCGCGTCAGCCACCAAACCCCGAGACACTCTTGACAAGGCGTGCTACACCACACCACACATCCTCAGATCACGTCCCTTACTCTGGAACAGTCTCCATTCTACACATATCCCTCACCTCCCACTCACCACCTCCCAATCCCATCATCCCACCGCATATCCCTCCAGCAGCAGCAACTGCTGCTGCTCCTCCTCCACTCCCCCTAAACCCGGCTGCAGCACCACCACCGCCACCCGCCCTCAATCCCCCTGCTGCCGCTTCCCCCCTGTTGGCATCCCACCCGCCGCACTCAAGCCCTCCAGCCTCCCCCAACTCCCCCAACCCCCTTAATCCCCCCGGTTCCCCCACGCCCCCCAGGTCCCCCAGTCCCCCTAGGGCTACAGCCAGCGCCAGCGTGGCGCACGGCTGTAGCGGCGCTGCTGTGCGCTTGCTGATGCCTCCCGCTGGGCGCCTGCCGGTTACGCCGCCAGGGACGGGGAAGGACGACGCGAGCGGAGGTAGCGACGACGAGAAAGGAGACGAGGAGGACGAGGGGGCGCCGCGGGAGTGCGCGTGGGCGTCAGCATATGCGCGGGCGTGCGCGTGCGCGTGCGCGTGCGGGCTGCTGCGCTGGCGCTGGCGGCGGTGGCGCGCGGAGAGGTGCAGCGCGCGCGTGTGCAGCGGCGTGCGGCGCAGCGGCTTGGCGAGTTCGCTCATGGAGCGGATGGCTGCCACGTCAGCGAGCGACGTGAAGGAGCGCGATTTGCCCCCTATGAATGCCGACAGCCCCTTCCTGCCATGCGCGCAGGGCCAAGGAGAAGGGGGAGGGAAGGGAAGGCACGCGGGGAGAGACAAGGGGAGAGGCGAGGGAGCGAAGGGAGAGGAGGGAAGAGGTGAGATTATGGTTACGAGCTGAAATATTTGAAGCAGGGATCGTGGGATTGTGCGAGGAAAGAGGGGGAGGGGGGCGCGAATTGATTCTAAATGTGAAAAGGGGCAGGGAGCACGCAGCGACGCGTGTGCGTGACAACTCGGAATGACGCTGCGAGAAACATAAACATAATCCGACGACTTACTGTCTCGTAAGCCCAGCGCCAGAAGCACCGTCACCAGCACCAGCGACAGCATCAGCAGAAGAAGCAGCAGAAGCAGAAGCGAGGGACGGCAGCTTGCGGCGGGGCAGCGGCTTAAACGTCGACTCCGCTTCCATGTCCGCCTCGCTATCCCTCTCCCCTCTCTCAATGCCGCTGCCGCTGCCGCTGCCGCCGCCCTCTGCGCTGTCACTTGCGACGCCCAGGCTGCTGCAGGAGCGGGAGAGGGAGAGCGATAGCGAGGACGATTCAACGGTCTGGAGAAACCCCGCTCCGCCGAAGCTCGTCAGGGGCTGCGGACCGAACATCCCCGCGTTCCTCCCCGAATCTTCCCCCGCACCTCGCCTCGCCATTCCGCCAGCGCGCGCGAATTCTCCCCCCGCGCCCGCAGCGCCGCCAGGTCGTTCCGCGTAGAAGTGCCCGCCTATGGAGGCCTGGCGCTGTTCCGCCGATGGCGCAAAGGGCACCTCCGACTGCACTCGGCGAATCCCCTTCCGCGGCCCGCATTCTCCCCCGCCCCAGTGTTCTGCCCATAGCTGCGCCTCCCCGCTAGCCCCGCTGCCGCCGCCGCTGCTCGTGCTGCAGCAGCAAATGCCTCCGCCGCCGTTCCCGCATCCCCCGCCGCAACCGCCGCTGCTACAGCTGCCGGGGTCGGAGCCCATCTTGATAAGCCGCGGCTCCGCCTCTCCATCATGATCGTGCGGCTGAAAACAACTCGAAGGAGGATTATCGTGCGGCGAGCGTGACTGGCGGTGGTGAGGCGGGTTGAGATATTGCAAGTGACGAGGCGAGTGAAGAGTCGTAGGAGATACGAAGCCCTGGATGGGCGGAAAGGCGTGCGCGATAGAGGCATTCGGCGCTCCATCGCCCGGTGCAGGCGGTGGCGCGGGGCCGGGGATATGCGGAATTGGGGCCTCGGAGCTCCAATTGAGGAGCGGAGTCCCGTCGTGCTCAATTCGCGCAAACGGGGTTGCGCGGAAGTGGGGTTGCGGAGGTGTGTGCGGGTGAAGGCGCGCGAGCTGGTTGTGAGGTGATGCGGAGAGCTGGGGGGAGAAAGAGGCGTCGGAGGGCAAGAGAGAGGGCTGGCTCATGCATGCACGGAGATGCGGAGGTGAAGCGAAGATATCGTCCGCGTGGCGCGGAATTAAGGAAGTGGGAGGGTGCAGAGAGGAGAGCGGTGTTTGGGATTCAATCTTAGAGGGTGGTTCCGGCGGCGTGCTGAGAGGGAATTGCGGCGGTTGCGATTGTGAATGTCGAGACGTTTCCTCGCACAGCTGCTGCTGTTGTTCTTGTTGTTGCTGCTGCTGCTGTTGCTGCTGTTGCTGCTGCTGCTGCTGCTGCTGCTGCTGCTGCTGCTGCTGCTGCTGCTGCTGCTGCTGCTGCTGCTGCTGCTGCTGCTGCTGCTGCTGCTGCTGCTGCTGCTGCTGCTGCTGCTGCTGCTGTTGCTGCTGTTGCTGCTGTTGCTGCTGTTGCTGCTGTTGCTGCTGCTGTTGCTGCTCCTGCTGTCGCAGCTGCTGCTGCATGTGTACAGACAGCGCCGACAGCTGCTCGAGAAGTAGGTCGTCGGACTCCGCCTGCTGCGGCCTGGTGGAAAAGTGCGCTCCGGCAAGACATCTTACCTCGGCGACACGCTCATTATCAGCCATGGCCGCCTTGCGAATATAAACACTCCCGCTGTGGCTTAAAGCAGGGAGTTACTTTCGACTGGGTGTAGATAATCGCTGCGGCAATGGAACGTCCCTGACGAGTCGATGTCGAGCTGCAAGAGATTGCCAAGTGGTGGTCGAGGTGGTGGTGGTGGTGAGGTGAGCCTTGCTGCTGCTAGTGCAGGCGCCGGCGGACATGACCTTAGAGAAGAAATCTTGGAGGTAAGGTTGGGAAACTGAGTCGTTTCTCGCCTCGAAGTCGCTTTCCAACCAACAGTGTGATGATGTTGAGGTGGTGGTGGTACAGCCTGCCTGAATGTAATCTCTTGTGCCACGGGCTGGGAAGATAGCGAAAGCCAGGAAGGAACAGACTGCCAAAAGCGTGAACTCAAGGCCCCCCTCACAGTTCCACACTTTCGGGCAAAATGCGTGGGGGTGTGTGCAGCTTTCTGGGGCTTTTGCTTCGGTTGGCTTCGCAATGACTCTGCTTTAATATCCGTAACCAAGTCGTTCGGAAGTGTACCGTACACTCAGGTCATGATACATGTGATACACCTTCTTCGCGCCAGTAGAGCATCTGTTTGCAGAACATACACGGGTTGTAGAGCGTCACCACGTTCAGAATGATCTTGTCACCTACTGTACAAGCACAAAGCGAAGAATACGGTTAGGTGAGGTGATGAACTTTACAAAAAGCTTTGTCAACGTTTTATTTGGGTTGAGAAGGGTATACAGCGATTACGGAATTTTTACGCCCTTGAGCCAGTTTGTCACGTGGTTCGGTTTTCCCCCCCAGATTGCTAGGAACGTTTAATGTCACCAGATCGCAAGAGACAAGTACTGTAGCGACGAGTCGCGCAAGGTGAGAAGGCTGAGAAATAGGGTGTACACTAGGCTCAGTGGCTATGAAACGGGGTTTTGGGGGCCAGGGGTTGTAGGTGGGGAGGGGAGCGGAACATGTGAAGTGAAAATTTGTGGGGAAGGAGGAGGACACGGGGAGATTGATAGGGGAGTTGTGAAGGTAGGCACTGGGTTTCCCCTGTTCCCCTTTCCCGTCCGCACTCCGCACCACTCACTCTCTCTGGGTGGGTGGTGGTCTTGGCGGTTTGGACGGCGAACGTTACAGTATTGCGAAAGCGAGCGACGAGAAAGTCGATGTTGGGGGGAGCTTCTGTGCTGGTTACCACAGAAAGTACAGCCACAGAAGCAGTTCCATTTGCAGCAGACAAATCGCGCACTCGAACATAGATTTTGCTGACAGAATGATGACTTGACTGGTGTTCGAAGGTGTGGTGTCAAATGTCAGAGGCGAGCTGGAGAGATGATGATTAGGAGAAATATGACGTGGAAACCAGGTGCACAGAGCTCATTGGGGAGCAGTTGCATGGCTGAAAGTGTACCTTGGCCTATCCCTCCTCACTGGGCAAATGGGACAGCTGTAGTGTGGGGGAAAGGACATCGAGCTGTAGATTGAAACGGAAGAAGGGATATGAAGGGGCCAGCTGCCACCAGCAAGATTCGTTACAAGGTCATGGATTTGTCCGAACCAACTCAACTGTTATATCTAGACTTCAACTAAATCCGAAGTCACTCAAGCAGGTCAAGTAGATCGCAAGGAAGGAACCAAGACATCCGAAGTTCTGCCCTGTTTTAACATAATTCATGTACGCTATCCACTCGCAATAAAACTTCTCTTGACAATTGATCAACTTTATTTCTGCTGACCACCCACCGTAGAGTTGGATTTATCATTAGTAGCAGAAGCGGCTCCATGTAACCAGCCAGCAGCTGCTGCGACACTAGGCACGGCAGCAGGTGCAGACGCAGCAGAAACAGATGCAGGAGCAGAGGCAGCACTTGCTGCTGTGTTACCCGGTGCAACCGCACTAATAACTGCAGCTCTATCTTTGTTCGGGGCAGCAACGAACTCCAAGTCAAGAACCAGACGCTTGCCCCCGTCTCTGGTTTCATAATTTCTGACCAGCTTCTGCCCAATCATTACTCCACCTCGACCACCTTCCTTCCGACCGCCCCCTCCTCCTCTCCTTCCTCTTCCCCTAGACTCTCGACCCCCTCCACCACCACCACTGCCAGCAACAGCAGCAGCAGCAGCAGCAGAAGCAGGAGCAGAAGCAGCAACAGCAGCTGCATCATGTGCTCGTCTTCTCACAGTTGCTCCTTGCTCAGGAAAGGCCTCTTGCGCTGCTCCTCCAGCGCCAGGCACTCTGGCGGAGGGAGAAGGGGAGATTCTACCAGAAGCCCCAGCAGGCATGGGGGAGGGAGACGTCCTAACCCCAGGCACTGCACCAGACGCTGCTACCTTGGCCCCAGAAGCACCTGTTGCAGCTGCAACCTTCCCTGCCATCACCCTTGCTCCAGCAGCTGGAGCAGCAGCTGCTGCTGCTGCTGCCGCTGCTGGTGCCGGTGCAGCACTTATGTCGGCCCCGAACAGGAGGCTTGGGCGGGGAGGGGTGGGGGAGAGGGAGGGCGCTGCCGCGGTCCTGGAAGCAGCGAGTGGAGGGGCAGAATGGGTTGCACCACTTGCACCTGCAATGGTTGGACGAGGCCTGTCAGGGGGGGAAGTAATACCGTGGAAGGCTGCACCTGCAGCTGCACCTGCTGCCACTGCAGCAGCAGAAGCAGCGGCAGTGGAAGTGGCTCCAGGCTCATGGGGTTGAGTGGAGAAGATGGTTGATGCAAAGAGCGAGCTGTACTGCTTGCGAGAAGCAGTGTTGCCCCCTCCTGCTCCTGCTCCTGCAGTTCCTTCTGCTGCTCTTGTGCCTGCACCTGCTGCTGCTTCTGCGGCTGCTGCTGCTGTTCCTCCTCCGCCTCCTCCTCCACCTCCGCCTCCAGATGCTGCTGTTACTGCATGGGTTGCAGGAGAGGGAGAGGACCTGGAGAGGGGCAGCGGCGTAGGCATGCCAGCAGCAACAGCCATAGCCGCAGCTGCTGCCGCTGCGGCAGAGGTGGAGTTGAGAGGAAAGGGCGAGGCGAGGTGCAGGCCTAGAGAAGAGGTCGAAGAGGCAAGGGAAGCAGCGAGGGTATGGCTGGGGAGGGAGGGTGGCAGGGGAGGGATGGAGGAGAGAATGGGAGGACCTAAGGGCCAGGACAGCTCGTGCTGCTGGGCTGAGGTGGAAGAGGATGATGAGGGGAGGGGGTGGGATTTGAGGGAGGAGAGCGAGGAGTGGTGCGCGGGGAGCGGGATGCTGTTGGGTGGGCGCGTGGAGGAGGCATGAGGATGGGCTGTGGGCGGGAGGGAGTGTGAGGGAGCAGGGTGAGAGGAAGAGAGATGGGGAGGAGGAACCGGAGCTGAGCCAGGGCGGGCAGAAGAGAGTGCCGCCGCTGCTGTTGCTGGCGAAGCAGGAATGCGGGTGGCCGTGGGTGGGGCGGGGGACGTGTGTGAGGGGGCTACTGCAGCAGAGTTGGCATATGAAGCTGCCAGGGAGGTGGCTGAGGGAGAAGCAGAGTGGGGAGTGGGAGCAGGGGCACGCAGGGGCACATGGCCAGCAGGAGGGGCAGGGGTGCCAGCAGAGGCAGCAGAGGAGGTATTAGCGGTTGGCAAATGAGGAATGGGCGGTGGCGGAGTGGCGGCAAGAGAGGGAGGGACTCGGAAGTTGGGCATGGCAGGCGGGTGGAGTCTGCTTGCTGCCACCGCCGCCGCCGCTGCTGGTGGTGGTGGTGGTGGTACCATTGCTGCTCCTGCAGACTGCGTTGCTGCAGACTGGTACGATGCAAGTGGAGGGACTGGAGAGTGGTGAGAACGAGGAGCAAGAGGAGGAGCAGGATGAGGGAGGAAGGACCAGAGCGGAGCGGAATTGGTTGAAGTGGGGCGTGCAGCAGAGGGAGCAGGGGAGGGAGAGGCAGCAGCAGCGGATCCAGCAGCTGCAACCGCTGCAGCAAGGGCAGCGGCAGAGGCAGCAGCGATCGCAGCAGCTTCAGGAGCAGGCACTAGGAAAGAGGAGAGGCAGGGGAAGGCAAGATCGGGTCCAGCAGACTGTGGAGACGCAGAAACACCTGAGGCAGCACCTGAAGCAGCAGCAACGGCAGAAGCAGCAGCAGCAGCAGCAGAAGCAGAAGCAGAAGCACTAGCTAAGCTGTTACCCACAGATGAGCCATCCACATGACCCAAATAACTCTCCCTCTCTTCCCCCAACGTCCCATTTCCCACCTCCACTTCATCCACCTCCATCCTCCCCTGTCCATATCCTCCTCCACTCTCTCCCCCCATCTCATTCTCCTTCTCATGTCCTCTTCTGCTCTCTCCCCTCCCATACCCATTCACACCACCTGCCCCATCTTCCTCCCCTCCTCGTCTCCGCCTGCCTCTCCCTCTCCCCCCTCCCCCACTCGTTTTCCTTTTCTTCTCAGCAAACCCCCCTCCATCCCCATCCCCTTCCCCCTCTCCTTCACCCTCTCCTTCCCCCGCACCCTTCCGCTCCTCCCTTCCTCTCTTCACCCCAGCTCCCATCCCTCCCCCAAGCGTCCCCCCAACGTTCTCCCGCACTCCCCCAGCAGTGCCAGCATCCCCCCCCTCAGATAAGGAGGGGGGAGCGGGGAGGGGGAGGATGAGGTGGGGAGGGGGAGGGAGAGCAGCAGCGGACTCCCATTCACTGAGAGCCCAGGGGGAGGGTGCAGGTGGGGGAGGTAGCAGCTGGCCTAGCTGGGGCTCTGATTGGAGGAGGTGTGGGAGGGGCCTGTCTGGAGGACACGTGGCATCAGGTGATAGGCTGGTGGAGGGAGCAGGGAAACGGGAGGGTAGGGAGAACACAAGGGGGGAGGGGGGGGGAGGGGGTGTTACGGAGAGGGTGCTGTGCTGTACTATCCTCTCTTGGTGGCTGACAGACAGTGCTTCTGACTAGGGATGAGCAAAATCCCGAACGCCTGTTCGGTTCGCCTCGAACATGTTCGAGGCGAACCGAACAGGCATTTTTTTTTGCCTAAATCGTTCGAGGCGAACATGTTCGGTGTTCGGCCGAACATGTTTGCCGTTCGCCATTGATTTTTGGCTAAGGGAATTCGAACACGAACGCATTCGTGTTCGAATTGGGTGCCCCGCGAACACAAAAGTGTTCGCGTCGAAATTGGCCGCGACCAATTTTAGGTCGCGGCCGTTTTGAGTTTGAGCTCATTTCGTGAGCTCAAACTCAAAACGCCTTTAGCGCTTAGCCCTCTCTCACACAACCGCCCTAGCCTTGCGGTTTTAATAGCCATCGCACACCTTACATCGTTCATCTACTCGGACATTAGGGTTAGGGTAGTTCGTAGTGTAGGGTGTTTGTGTGAACATTAGAGTTCAGAAGCATAGGGATCAAGCACCAAGCGGTCAAGGTGTCAAGTTGTAGAGACGGCGTTTCACAATATGACCACTGTGACTATATCGAATTTTCCCTTTGGCGATCTCGAACATGTTCGACTCGAACATGTTCGAGTTCGCCTGCTGCAACAATTCGTTCGCCCCCTAGGGCGAACGGCGAACACCTGTTTTCGCCCAAATAGTTCGCCGAACCGAACACTGTTCGGTTCGGTAGAAGTCGATGTTCGATAGGGGGCGAACTCGAACATGTTCGAGTTCGCCCTCTGCTCATCCCTACTTCTGACATTTGGGCAGTTCAGAAACCTCCTCTGATACACAATGCAATGCAGCGCAACACAATGCAATGAATTGCAAGATAAAGCAATGCAATGCCAGGCAGGCACTCACCCAGCCGCATCAGCATCAGCATGCAGGCACAGCAGCCTGTGCTGCACACGCACCCCTGCCTCCGCTCCTCTTGCTGGTCCTGCCCCCCCGCTCCCTGCTCCCCCTGCTGCCGCTGCCCCCCCTGCTTGCATCGCCCCCTGGGTGGTAGTGAAGCTGACAACAAGCGAGCCCGCATCGGGGTGTGGCCATGCAGTGGCGGGCGAGGGGAAGCGCACGAGGTACCAGGCAGAGGAGGGGGGCGATGGGCCCTCCGCCTGCTGGGGAGAGCAGCATGCAGGTTGGGCGGGACAGGGGGAGGGGAATGGGGAGGGAGGGTGAGGGGAAGGGAGGGCGAAGCGAGGGCGAAGCGAGAGGGAAAAGGAGGGGTTGAGTTGGGAGGATACGGGAAAAGGGAGGCGAGGGAGAGGGTTGGAGTAGGAAAAGAGGGAAGGGAGGGAGGGGAAGGAGGGACGGGATAAGGACGACAGGGGAGGGACACAAGACTGCGGATGAAGGGATTGGGACAGAGGGGGGGGCATAATTCGAGGAGGCAACCAGCAGTAGCTTATGGCGTACCAGCAGACTGGATACGATACACTACAACAGTATGCTGAAAGCCCTGACGGTTTCAATTCAACTTCAAAGAATGCAAGAGCTTGAACAAACGCCCTGCACAACGAACTATCACCACCACACCACACCACACTACTTGCACTGCAAAGCATCCACAAACGGATGGACCACTGCCCCAACGAACCACCCGCTGTTCCTCATCCCCACTCCCTCCACTTCCGAATCCCAGCACGCCCCCCACTCCCCCCCCTTCCACTCTCCTCCTCCCTCCCCTCCCCCAATTATCCTCCCATCCTCTCCCCATCTCAATCGTTTCCCCTCTCCCCGTCTCACTCGCTTCCCCTCTCACCGCTTTCTCCAGCAGCAGAGTCTCTGCCTCGTCCCTGGTGACAGAGCCCATGATCCACAGGGGTGAGAGCGACAGCCACGCCGGGCGCAGGTGCGGGCGCGAGAGAGCAAGCACGAGAGGGTAGAACCACCGCCACACGCGCTCCCACTGCTCCCGCGTTACTGTGTCCCCGCACCCTGCCACTCGCTGCAGGTGTTCCTTGTCCTGGTGGGGGGGGGGCGGGATGGACGGATGGACGGACGGACAGACGGACAGACGGAGGGACGGAGGGACAGAGGGCGGAGGGACGGAGGGAGAGAGGAAAGATGCAAGCACAATCAGCAGTGGTGGCCGTCAGCAGCAGCAAAAGCAAAAGCAACAGCACCAGCAGCGGCAGCGACGCCGCCAGCAGCAGTAACAGCGACAGAAAGCAGACCTTGAGAGTGAACCGCCTGGCGAGGCTGCCCAGGGACTGCAGCAGCGCTGCCTCCAGGTGCTGGCACGCCCTGCCCCATGCACCCGTGCCCGTGCCCGCCCCGCCTGCTATGGCCTGCCATATGCGCGCCTCCTCCCCCAGCAGCGCCCAAGCCATGCCCACTTGGTCGCTGGCACAGGTTGGGGATGCAGAAGGCGGGAGAATGCAGAGGGTGGCGGATGCATGCAGAAAATAGGGAATGGGTGAGAGCCGAGCAGCAGCAGGGGAACCGGGGCAGCAGGTGGATGGAGGGAGTGGGGGAGGTAGGAGGAAGGCCGGAAGGGAGAGGAGTAGAGGTGATTAAGGAATGGAAGAAGCAGAAAGGCAGAATGGTGGTAAGAGCGAGGCACTATCATTCCATTTCCATACGCCTCTCCCTCACTCTTACTCTCGACTCTTCCCACTCTCATCTCACCCATGCCCTTTCCCTATCACAACACCCAACTGAGGCAAGCCAGTCAAGCAAGTGAAGCCAGTCAAGCCAGTGAAGCCAGTGAAGCCAGTGAAGCCAGTGAAGCCAGTGAAGCCAGTGAAGCCAGTGAAGCCAGTCAAGCCAGTCAAGCCAGTGAAGCCAGTGAAGCCAGTGAAGCCAGTGAAGCCAGTGAAGCCAGTGAAGCCAGTCAGGCCAGTCAGACCAGTCAAGAGGCACTCACCCCTGGTGTCGGCACCCTGTGATCTCAGCCACCCTACTGCCCATGCGAGCAATCTCCTCGCGCCCCACGCGCCCCACCACAGCCTTGAGAAACTCTGCACGTGCCCACGGCCCCTCCAGGCAGTACCGGAACACAGCACGCATCGGCACACTCACTATCGCCTCTTGCTCCCCCCTCCCCTCTCCCTCTCCCCCCTCCGCACCACCACTCCCACCTCCCCCTCCACCTCCCCCTCCGCCTCCCCCTCCGCCTCCCCCACCGTCTCCTCCTCCTCCTCCTCCTCCTCCTCCTCCTCCTCCTCCTCCTCCTCCTCCTCCTCCTCCTCCTCCTCCTCCTCCTCCTCCTCCTCCTCCTCCTCCTCCTCCTCCTCCTCCTCCTCCTCCTCCTCCCCCTCCCGCATCTTCATCTGCACCCAGTTCCTTCTCACCTCTCGTCCCCTCATTCGTCTCCCCAAGACCCCTTCCCCGTTCTCCTTCCCCTCCCCCATCCCCTACTTCTCCCTCCCATTCCGTTCCACCCTCTTCCCGTTCGAAACCACCACCACCACCACCACCAGTAGCAGCAGCTCTGAGGGGCGAAGCCCCCACTCCCAGCACGAGACCTGCAAGCTGCTTTCCCACGGCCTCCGCACCTCGCTTGGTGAGACCAGACGCATCCACGGGCAGCGAGCAGGCTTGCAGCGGCAGGGCGCCTGAGAGGAATGGAACGAGTGGGTGGGCAACGGCGCCGCCAGAAGCAAGAGCGCCTGCAGCAGTAGACAGCGACGGCAGGAGTAGACCAGCTGCCGCTGCTGCTGCGGAAGCTAGTGCTTCGGGAGAGAGAGCAAGAGGAGTGGTGGCACCAGCAGCAGCAGAAGCAGTAGTAGTAGCAGCAGACAGGGATTGAAGCGGCCAAGGGATTAAAGTGCCGTGAGGGCCGGGAATAAGCGTGGTGTGGGCCGGGAATGTGGATGACATGAGTGACACGCCTGTGGTCCCAGCAGAGGGAGCAGCCGCCCCTGCAGCATCAGCACCCGCAGCAGTAGCAGCAGCCGCAGCGCCTGTATTCCCCCTCTCTCTCTCCCTCACAACACCCACCTTCTCTCCATCCGCCGCTTCCCCACTCTCTTCACTGTCTGCCTTGGCCTCACCGTTCAAATCCACACATGGCCGCTTCACAGCCGCACGCCCACCACCATCACCCTCACTTTCCCTCTTTCCTCCTCCCCTTCCTCCCCCTTCTTCTCCTCCTGCCCCCCCTGCTCCCCCTGCTCCCCCTGCACCGCCTGTAGCCCCTGCTCCCCCCGCTCCTGCTTGCCTTCCCATACCCCTTGATGCTCCTTCCCCCCCTCCTCCTCCTCCTCCTCCTCCTCCTCCTCCTCCTCCTCCTCCTCCTCCTCCTCCTCCTCCTCCTCCTCGCTCCCCACTCATGCCTTTCCCCTCGCGACTGTCTCCACCTGCTCTACCGCCCTCGCTTCCTGCCGCAGCAACATCCTTAGAGTTTCCTGTCAGAGACCCAACCAAGCCACCAGCACCGCCACCAGCACCCCCACCACCCCCAGAAGCAGCAGCAGCGGCAGAAGCAGCAGCAGCGGCGACAGCAGCAGCAGCAGCGGCAGGGGGCATGTGGAGGAAGGGCGCGGGGGCAAGCCCATAGGCAAACAGGGAAGCAGCAGCAGCGGCGGAAGCAGCAGCGGCAGCAGCAGCAGGGTCAGCGGGATTGGGCGGGCGGAAGAAGTAAGGATGCGGTGTTGCTGGGTGCGGCAGGTGCATCATGTGGTGCGGAAACCCAGGGGGCAGCAGCACTGACCCTCCAGGTCCTCCTGGCCCTCCTGCTCCTGCTCCTGCTGCTGCTGCCGCTGCTGCAGCAGCAGCGGCGGCTATTCCATGAGAGGCCAAATGGGGAGCCAAGCTGGGTGGCAGCATGAGGGAGAAGGGAGACATGGAGGCCGGGAGGGTTGCTGCTCCGACCCCTGTCATTGACGCGGAGATAAGGGAGGATACAGCAGCGTCTGCAGCAGCAGTGGCGGCAGCGGAAGGGAGTGGCAGAGGAGGGAAGAGCGAGGAGAGCGGTGGCGGGGTGAGCCGGCCTGCAGTGGCAGCGGCAGCTGCAGCCATGGCAGCAGCAGCTGCAGGGGAAATGCTGGTAAGTTGAGTCAATCCAGATCCAGATGCTCCTGCTGCAGCCCCAGCAGCAGCTGAGGAACTAGATCCAGTGGCAGTGGCAGCTGCAGCAGAAGAAGCGGCAGCAGCAGTAGCGGAAGCAGCAGCAGGAGCACGAGCCGGCAGTCCAGCCTTGAAAGACGTATTCCCGAGCGCTGCTGCTGCCGCTGCAGCCATTGCAGCTGCTGCTTGGGAGACGGAGAGAGGGGCTGCTGAGGCGGGAATGGCAGCAGGGTTCAGGTTAGGGTTGGGAGTAGGGTTGGGAGTACTAGGGCGTGGACTAGCAGCGCGGTGTGATGAGGTTACCGCAGTAGTTGCAGGAGCAGAGGCAGAGGCAGAGGCAGGGGTAGATGAAGAGGGAGGGCCAGAGGCAGAGGCAGCAGGGGGAGGGGAGGCGAGAGAGGGGAGATTTGGAGACAGCGGGGTGATGTCTTGTCGGGCTGAAGGGGCTCGAGCCAAGAGCTGAGGCGGGATGGGAGGGGGCGATGGGGACGTGAGGACCCTACGCTGCCCCCCACTGCCTGCTGCTCCTGCTACCCCCCCGCCTCGCCCTGCTGCTCCTGCGGCAGCACCAGCTACTGGAGACGTGGCTTGCTGCTGCTGCTGCTGCTGCTTATCCATTGCAGCCATTGTCGCACCTCCCACCTGATTATTTGTAGAAGCAGCGGCAGCACCAGCAATTGCAGTAGAAGCATCAGCAGCAGTAGATGGGGTGGAAGTAGAGGATGGTGTGAAAGGAGGACGCACATTGGGATGAGGTGCTAGAGTGGGGAGACGGGGTGGCGTGGGGGAGGAGAGGGGTGTCACAGCAGTTCCAGTAGAGCTAGGTTCCACTCCCCGTGCTCCTGCTTTCCCTATTCCTCCTGTTCCTCCTCCTCCTGCTCCTCCTCCTATTCCTCCTGCTCCTGCTAAAGCTGCACTGCCAGCACCCCTACCACTGGTACTTCCAGCAGCAGCGGCAGCGGCGGCGGCAGCGACAGCAGCAGCGGCAGCAGTGTGGCTGGCAGGCAGGGAGGAGACCACAGCAGAGAGCTCCTCCTTGGTTGGTGGCGCTGCCTGCGAGGCAGACCCGCCAGGGAGCAGTGGGAGGATTGGGAGCAGCTGTGGAGAGTGCAGAGCAGCAGAGGACAAAGCAAGCCGGCCGCTGATGTTGCCGCTGCTGCTACTGTTGTTACTGTTGTGACCGGTGCACCCTGCTCTGCCTCCCCCTGCCTTCTCCACAGCACGCTTCTCCTTCTCCCTGTCTCGCACGCTCTTCCCCCCTGCACCCCCCACCTCTCTTCTCTCCCCCAGCTTTTCTCTCATTCTAACACCTTCCCCTACCTTCTCCTTTGGCGTGTCTTCTTTTCCCGCCAAAGCTGCTGCTGCTGAAGTAGGCTGCCCTCCTGTCCTGCTTGCCGATCCAGATGCAACCCCGGCCTGAGACTTGGCTGCAGCCAGAACAGCTGTCATCGACATGGGCGCACGTGGCTTTCCACCTGAAACCACACCTGAACCAGCAGCACCTGAAGCATCACCTGAAGCACCACCACGGGTGACAGGAGCAGAAGCTGCTGCGGCAGCAGCAGATGCGGAAGAGGGTGGAGTGTGAGAGGGAGGAGGCGTGGATGCATCATGGGCCCCTTTGAGCCTCTTAGCAGCAGGCTCGACAGAGGCTGGATCACCTGCTGCAGTGCTGCTACCACTGACACTCCTGTCGCCACCACCACTGCCGCCAGCATTACCAGCATTACCAGCATTACCAGCATGGCTAGAAACCCCCCCACCTGCAGCACCTTGCACTCCTGCCCCTCTGACTGCATCCCTCGCAGCTCCTTCCCCTTCTCTATCCTCCCCGCTCACCGTCCCTGCTCCCGCCGTCTTCTCCTTCCCCAGATCTGCTGGTCTGCTCCGCTTCTCCTGCTGCTCTTTCTCATCACCTCCTCCTGCACCTTCAACTCCACTACCACCAGCAGCATCCCCAAGGCTGCCGACTTTCCCACCTGCCGCTTTGTGCTCCAAATCAACCCCTGCTTCACCGGCAGACTTAGCACTACCAGCATTCCCCGCACGCATCGCCTGCTTTCCAGCCCCGCTAGCAGCACCTGCTCCCACACTCACCCCTTCCCCCTCCTCCCTCCTTCCTTGCACTCCCTTTGGTTGTGAAGCAGGCTCAGGGATTCCAACCACTTCTCTTGCTCCTGCTGCTGTTGCTATGGCTGATTGTGCAGTGGCAGAAGCGGCAGCGGCAGCAGCAGCACGGGCAAGCCCAGTGGGGGTCCTGGCATGAACAGCTGCAGCAGCAGCTAGCGTGGCAGGGATTGTGGGTTGGGGAGGACGTATTGAGGCAGGCGCTTCACCAGTACCTCCTCCTCCTCCTCCTGGTCCTCCTCCTCCTGCCCCTCCCCCTTCTCCCGCCCCTCCTCCTGCTCCTCCTCCTCCTCCCCCACTTCCAATCATCCCTCCTCCGCCTCCTCCCCTTGTTCCACTTCCTGTTGTTGCTGGAGCAGCAGAGGAGGAAGGTCTAGAAGGGGCAGCGGAGGGCGGGCGAGGAGAGGCAGCAGAGAAAGGGAGAGTGGTGCGAGGGGAGGGGGAGGGGGAAGAGGAGGAGAGGGCGCGGCGGTCAGCAAGCAGAGAAGAGATGGTGGATAGGGTAGGCATGGGAGGAATCTCTCTTCCTGCAGTTGCTACTGCCACTGACGGTGGTGATGTTGCTACTGCTGGTGCTGGTGGTGCCGCCACTGCTGCAGCTGCTGTTACTGCTGGTGCTGCTGGTGCTTTAGATGGTGCTGCTGGTACTTCTGATGGTGCTGCTGGTGCTTTTGATGGTGCTGCTGGTGCCTTTGATGGTGCTGCTGATGTTACTGCTGACGGTGCTGCTGGTGGCTTTGATGTTGCTGCTGACGGTGCTGCTGGTGGCTTTGATGGTGCTGCTGGTGGCTTTGATGGTGCTGCTGACGGTGCTGTAGGCAGCGCTGCCAGTGCTGCTGCTGCTGTTGTTGCTGCTGCGAGTGCTGCTGTTGGTGCTGCTGCTGCTGCTGGCCCTGTTTCTGGTGCTGCTGTTGGTGCTGTTGCTGCTGTTGCTGCTGCTACTGCTGCTGCTGGCGCTGCTGACTGTGCTGCTGCTGGTGATTTTGATGGTTCTGCTGCTGGTGCTGTTGGCAGCACTGCTCGTGGTCCTGTTGATGCTTCTTTTGATGGAACTGCTGGTGGTGCGACTGCTGGTGCAGCTGATGGTGCAACTGATGGTGCTCCAGGCGGTGCAGCCTTTGGTGGTTCATTTTCAGTCACCATCACCGCTCCTCCACGAGCCGCTATTGCTGCTGTTCTTGCTTGTGCCCCTAAACCACCACCTACTACAGCACGCTCTGCTTGCCCTGCTGCACCCGCTGCTCCATTCTTTCTCGACGCCGCTGCACCAGCCTCATTTGACTTCCCTGCTCCATCCTTATTCGACTCCACTGCACCCACACTTGCAGTTCCCACGAGAGCAGAACCTGCTGCTGCAGGTGCCTTTCCTGTGCTCGCCGAGCCTTCCTTCGTGCCTGTTATTCCCACTGCTCCTGTTGCTGCTGCTGCTCCGGCCCTAGCAGTTTCTACCCCTGCTGGTGCCACATCTGTAGCTGCTGGTGCTGCTGTTTTGAGGGCTGTCTTGGAAGCAGCGCTTGTGCCAGAGGCCACTGGAGGCACAGGCACCACTGAGGCGCTAGCAGAGGTTGGAGCAGCAGCGGCAGCAGCAGGGGGAGTAGCCGAAGCTGGAGCAGCAGGGGGAGTAGCAGAGGGAACAGCAGAGGGAGCAGCAGAGGGAGCAGCCGAGGGAGCAGCAGAGGGAGCAGCAGAGGGAGCGGCAGAGGGAGCAGCAGAGGGAGCGGCAGAGGGAGCAGCAGAGGGTGCGGCAGAGGGAGCGGCAGATGGAACCACGTTAGAGGCCGAAGCAGGAGCAGAGGCAGAGGGCGTTCCAGAAGCACGGGCAGGGGCGGGGGCAGTGGCAGGAGCAGTAGCAGTGGCAGGAGCAGTGGAAGGAGCAGTGGCAGGAGCAGTGGCAGGAGCAGTAGCAGTGGCAGGAGCAGTGGCAGGAGCAGTGGCAGGAGCAGTGGCAGGAGCAGTGGCAGGAGCAGTGGCAGGAGCAGTGGCAGGAGCAGGAGCAGGAGCAGGAGCTGGAGCAGGAGCTGGAGCTGGAGCTGGAGCAGGAGCTGGAGCAGATGGTGAAGAGGCCTGTTGTGCCTTGGCAGCACTGCTTGTCCCGGTATTGCCAGCTGCAGCACTGCCAGTTTTAGCTGCCGCAGAGGCAGACCGAGGGCGTGCTGCAGCATGCTCCACTGGAGGGTTCTGTGATTGGGGCCGGAGGGCGACAAGAGAGATAGAAGAAACGGAGAGAAAGGCGAGGGAAAGAGCGGGAAGGAGGAAGGGGTGGGGGTGAATGGGGTGGGGGAGGGGAGAGGATCAGGAGAGAGGAGGGGATGAAGGGAGAGGAGAAACGGGGATGAATTTGGGTTAAAAGAGCGAGACGTCAGGAGGTACACCAAGGTCCAAGACTGGATTTTTTTTAATATATATATATATATATATATATTTTTTTTTTTTTGTATTCTCAAAAACAGACGATAAGAGGTATCCCAAGGTGGTCCAAGACTGGAAAACGACCACCATGTTATATACCTTTCACTTTCACCCACCCCTCTTTGCTTCCATTCTCTCTTCCCTCCCAGCTGTCCTTCTCCAGTCCTCCCCTTCAACCCCCCCCCCAACTCTACCCGTCCCTCTCTCCCAGCCCACCTCAGCATAATGAGTGGCGACATCTGCAGTGTGCAGCAGCTTCACATGGTGCACGAGCGCGTGCACCCCTCCTCCTCCCCCTCCTCCCCCCACTGCCCCGGCCCCTGTTGGACCATCACCGCCTGTAAGAAGCAGGGGGGCCGTCTCTGCAGCAGGTGCAGAGGCGTGGAGAGGGGCGGAGGAAGCCGTGTGCTGTGCTGCCTGTGCACGGTTGATGTACAGGCGAGCTGCATGCGGATGCGGGTGCACCTGGTGTGGATAGAGAGGGGCAGGTGGGATGGGGTAGGCGGTGGGAGGTGGGGAAAGGAAGGGAGAGGGGAGGGAGAAGAAATGGGACAACTTCTGAAGGCATACGCTGTAGAATGGGTCCAAAAAAAAAAAAAAAAATCTTCGTGTTCATGGGGGTAGCGATGACTTTCCAAGTAAAACGGTTTCCTTGTGACGAGGAATGAAGGGAGGAATGAGCAAAAGAGGGAGGAACAATGAGGGGAATGGAGTGGGAATGGAGAGAGCAGAGGGCGACGGGATGGGGAGGGGAGAAGGGATGGAAAGGCTCGAATTGGCATAGCACTTCTCTTCCTCCTCACCTCACATGCCACGTGTACCCACTCCCCCTCACCACACGCCCTGTCCGCTGTCAGCACCATCCCTTCCCCCTTCCCCGCGTCCCCCTCCCACGCGTCCCCCTTCCCCACGTCTTCCTTCCCTGCGCCCCCCTTCCCCGCGTCCCCATTCCCCGCGTCCGCGTCCCCTTTCCCCGCGTCCGCTTTCCCCACATCCCTTTTCCCTCCACCCCCCTGTGACGCTGCTGCGGCTGCCACGTCTAGCAGGTCGGCAGGAGGCCGGGGATGCAAAGAGAGGCGCCGGTCGGGACCCAGCGTGAGGAAGGGGAGTGTCGCTGGCGCATTGGGTCGACCCTGATAACGATGGGGGGAATCCACCGGGGGCGGGAAGCAGAATCACGCGGTAGTTTAATCATTCTTCTGAACTCTCAGAAACTACGGGAAACGCAGAGCGACGGTTCTTCTGTCACTGTCAGCTTCATGGGCAGCAGACAGCACAGCAACCGCTCACTCACCTGTCGGATGACCACCCCACTAGGAGACTCGGGCGCTATGCGCATCCAGAAACACAGAGTGAAGCCTCCACGGAACTGCGGATCCCCCGCCTCGACCAGCACGGACAGGCGATCCAAGGGAGTGTACTTCGGCTCAGCGGCAGCCGCACCAGCAGCAACAGCAGCACCAGCAGCAACAGCAGCACCAGCAGCAACAGCAGCACCAGCAGCAACAGCAGCACCAGCAGCAACAGCAGCACCAGCAGCAACAGCAGCACCAGCAGCAACAGCAGCACCAGCAGCAACAGCAGCAACAGCAGGAACAGCAGCAACAGCAGCACCAGCAGCAACAGCAGCACCAGCAGCAACAGCAGCAACAGCAGGAACAGCAGCAACAGCAGCACCAGCAGCAACAGCAGCACCAGCAGCAACAGCAGCAACAGCAGGAACAGCAGGAACAGCAGCAACAGCAGGAACAGCAGGAACAGCAGGAACAGCAGGAACAGCAGCAACAGCAGGAACAGCAGGAACAGCAGCAACAGCAGGAACAGCAGGAACAGCAGCAACAGCAGGAACAGCAGGAACAGCAGCAACAGCAGGAACAGCAGCAACAGCAGGAACAGCAGCAACAGCAGGAACAGCAGCAACAGCAGGAACAGCAGCAACAGCAACACGGATAGTCGCAGAAGTAGCCGCAGGGTTGGGCGCTTCTGCAGCACCGGAACCAGCATTTGATGCAGACGCAGAGAAATTGGCTCCAGAAGCTGCCGGGACTGAGGCACCAGGAGCAGAGACAGCAGAAGCAGCAGGAGCAGAAGGAGCGGAGGCAGGAGCAGGATCAGCCGCCGCGTCCGCCACTGCCACGCGCGCGGGCGGTGGTGGTGCTGCTGACTGCGCCATGGCAGCGGCAGCAGCAGCAGCAGCAACCAGAGCAGCGGCAGTTGCGAGGGGGTATAACGGCAACCACAAGCTACTGTATCGCTGCTGCTGCTTCGCGTTTGTCGCGGGGCGCGCAAAGCCGCGGCTTTACCATGCGAGGCCGCGAGCGGGAGAATACATGGTTCGGAGGGTCGAAGGATGGTGGGATACAGCGCGTGCTGTCGGAGCGGCGACAAGAGCCTCTAAGGTAACGATGATGCGCGAAACACGAAAAAGCATGCGGTCAGGTATGGATGGTTACGCTACAGTGTTACAAACAACGGCGTGATAGGCGGTCAGTTGGAAACTCCATGCGGTAAGAGAGGATGTTTCGGGCAAACAGTAGTCAAGAGAAACAGCCACCGGAAGTGGCCCTGGAAAGAGACTGATGCGGTTTCGGCAATTACAGTACGGAGCGCGAAGTGAGCTGAGCAGAGCACAATGCGGAAGGAGGGCTGCCTAGGGTGCTTGTACACTCATGAAGTGGCGACGCGAAAACGAAACTATTGGAAGGTCGAGCGGCTTGTGGAGAAGTGGATAGGTTGAGGAAGTTAGAGGAGCCGAGATGACGGCTGGTAAGAAATTACGGCGTCCGATTTGTAGGGCTGGAACTGATCCGGTTCATTCTGACAGTTCAATTTTCAAAAGCACTGCGGCTGGAATGCTGACCAGCAACATTTGCGTGGATTGCATAATTCTGTAGAGACGGGAAAGAAAAGGGTACAAAACGACGGACTTGGTTCTTGATTTGCAAGGCAGGCGCCAAGTTAAGAACGTGGAGACATTGCACTGATTAACAAATATCGTGGGCCAAAGGCAACCTGGATTAGGGTGTGGTGCAGGTCAGAATCATTGAACCAAAGAGGTCCGTGACGAAGCACATGCAACGCGGAAGACATCGCGCAGCTAGGCTGACGTATGAACCTTACGACCCTACTCGAACGCAAAATAAAAGACGGCACCAAACTAGTTCGGCGGCATGCGTGAAATCTTATTGGGAAAGTCCCACAATAAGCAAGGTCGAAGAGTTAGAACAAGTCAGAAAATACGATGGTAGCTCATTTGACGCTTGGTTGGCTTGGGGGGGAAAGGATAGGTAGGAGGAGCACACACATATCCAGCAGGCACGGGGGTTTGGTTCGGGCCTGAGATGTTGGGGGCGGCACTGCGGCAGGTAGATCGGAAGCGCGGAGATTGAAGATGAGGGTCACTCACTCACAGTCGCTGCGTAGAACGCGGGGAGTGTGGCAAGCGGGAAACACGGGGGGTACGCGGTGGGATTTTGGACAGGTCAGCAGCATCACACGGTTGGCGGCGAGAGGAACCGAACAGCTGGGCAAATGCCTGATTGCTAATTTTGGACGATTTGGTTGAACTTGGCTGAAGTCTAATGCCTGATTGCTAATTTTGCTTATAAGGTGTTGAGGGTTACGTGGCAACTGGCTGGTATGGGAACAACGCCTGTCCGCTCTTCCTCGAAACCCTGCCCTGTACAAAATCAAACTGCTTGTTGGTTACGTAAGCAGGTACTATTGAGTGCTCTAAATAAAAAACGAATGACAGTGGAAACTCAACTCATGGCTGATGTAGGTGACCTAAGGTGGAATACCATATTATGACAACTAAGACATCAACGTTACCGTACAAACATTAGGATTGGCTAGAAATCGGCGTTGTGACCTAGAATACCTATGAACCTGACAGACCAGACACCATAGTACGACATCAACTATCAACTTAACTTGCTGTGGAGAGTGCAGCAAGACAACACTTCACGACAGCATCATAAACTGAGGATAGATATGATGTTACACAGGTGAGTGCCTGGCTGTGAGCCAGGAAATGATGACGACAAAACACCACTGACAGACGCATGGACTGCACTCGACAAAAGACAACACAGGACGACATACGAATGCACCAACACTGCATGGGTGACCAATGACCGACCTCACATGGCGCTCAGCAGAGTCTTCTATCAGCACAAGTGCTGGCACTGGACTCAACCAAAGTTGAATCCGCCACTGGGGACCATGGGCTGACTTTCTCCGAAGGCATATGTCTGCTGATTGGCATCTACTTGTGGTGCCAGCTGCTGATCCTCATCCTCATCCAGGCCGAAGTACGTCTCCAGGATCTTGACAGCCTTTTCATAAATGTCGTTGTTCTGATGCGTCTGGAGGTTCTCAATCTTCTCCAAACCTTCTGCTTCATCAATGTACTGGGCGTACAGGTTAATCCCTCCTGTGTGACCCAGCTCCTTCTCAGCTTCCCCGACCTTAAGAATGTTCTCCAACCCCTCAAGCGCCACCGTAACAATCCTTGCATCCGACGTCAACAGCAGGTCGCACAGGGGCTTAATGCAGCCTTGGGAGACCAGATACCTAAACGCACACAAACAAAGTCGTTTAGCAAGTAGCACACACAGAAACACACTACTTGTCCCCTTCCGAAAGGAAAGCACTTACTTGATTTGATCATGTGTACCGCCTGAAGTAGCATTGGAGATCGCCCAAGCAGCCTCCTTCTTGATGTCGAACTCAGCAGTCTCAAGCAGATGCCGGAGAGGAGGGATTATGTTGGCGTCAATAACAGCCTGCACAGTCACTCGCCTTGTGTGAATCTGTCGCTTACCAAAGTCTCACAACGCATTCTCGTACAAAGTCATTACCTGAATCTGTTCCTTGTTCCCAGCAGTAATGTTGGAGATTGTCCAACAGGCCTCTTTCTTAATGCTCTTCTTATGGTTGGTGGTCAAGAGGGCTAGCAGGCATGGCAAGGCATTGTTGTTGATGATGACCTGTGAAACATTCGATGTAGAGCTTTTAGAAAACAAGCGACAGCACCACCATCTGAAGTACAGAACCGAAGAACACGCACCTGTGTCTGATCATCGTCCCCGGTGACGATGTTGCCCACGGTACGAAGGGCAGGGATGAGGACGGAAGGCGAAGGATGCCTGTAAAGGACGCGTTTCACACCAGTGAAAACGGTGGAAAGGGTGACGATAAAACAGATACCGAACAAATGAATCATTCTTACAAGAGAAGCTCAACCAGCCTTCGGCACACATTAGCCTCTATGACTGCCTGAATCTTGTCATTGGTGCCATCCGATAGGTATGACAAAGCCCAACAGGCATCCGTTAAGACCTCCTCGTCGGTGGAGTGAATAAGCCGCTCAAGAGCGGGCAGAGCAGGTTTGGACTGCACGCACAGATTTCAGTGTTAGTGTCTCGAAGCTACTAAGAAGTTACGAATCGCATGCTGCACCTTGCCATACCTGTTCAAAAGGAGGCTGGGGCTTTCCGCGGCAGAAGTTCGAAAGGGTCCACGTCGCGTTGCGAAGCATGGAAAGCTTCGAGTTCTCGTTCAATTGCGCGAGGAGCGGACCCATAGCGTTGTGGCTAAGAACCAAATCTCTGCACTTGGGGGAGTCTCCCGCGATGTTCCCCAGAGCCCAGACAGCCTGCATACAGGGAAGTATGTCAAACTTTAGTGTATCGGGGAACACGTTGGTACATCCAAAAGAGATACTGAACAAAACATACCTGCTCCCGAACATCATCGCTGGGCGAACTGAGAAGCTGGACGAAGATAGGAACTGCGCCGTGCTCAATCACCACACGGGTGTGGTCTGAAGTACCAGAGGCAATATTGGTCAAGGCCCACGCAGCTTCAAACTGTGACACGACGATGAAATAAAGGTGAGAAGGCGGCATGGGCCAGAAACAAACGAACTCGGCAATGGTGGAGTAGACAAACCTGAAGCTGTGGAAGTTCGTAATTCTGCAAAAACTGCGTGAACCGAGGGACGACCCCGGCTTTGATGACTTCCTCGATTGGGGGACTACGTTCTGTGCACATTTCAAGTAGCACGAGTTATACACAGGAACTGATGTCACCGCGAGAAACTAGGAAAAAAATACGGGACTGGCAGGACTTACCAATCGATAACAGCTTCCGAAACTGTGTGGTTGCTTCGACCTGCGTTTGCGGATCCTCTGACCACACGCCTTGAACCATGGCAGGAAGGCTTTCAAGCTGTGACTCAGCGAACAGAAAAACGTGTCACCATTGGACGCTGGAATAGTTTTACACGACCTATTTAGAGTTTAAAAAAAAAGTCAATGAAGGACAAATTTGACGTGTACGCGATGAAGTACCTTCTTCTCGACCGTAGCAACAGGAATCTTGGGAAGATCTATTACTGCTTGCATCCCCTCCTTGCGCTTCTTCAGCAAGCTCTCCTCCCTCTTACTCTTCCGAATCTCCACCATGTTGTCCTCACGGCGCCTACGCGCCTCATCAGCGCTAACCGCCTGCTTGTACGCCGACTTCCTGGCCTCGGTACGAGCACTAGGACGGAGAGACATGACGCCTGGACAAAAGGTGGGCTCACGGTGACTGAAGGAGAATGGAGAACGATAGAGAAACGAACTAAATCCAACAGTAAAATATGAACACAAGGGAAACCCCAAATTTCCCCATAGCACGTCACCAGGTCTGAAGCCAAGCCGAACCTGTCAGAGATTTGGTGGAGTCGTTGTGCGAAAGGCGAAGTCCAACAGCACCCCGCCAAAAGTCTGTCTGTCGGACAGTTCCATCGAAAGCAAATCAGAGCGCGCCAGGTCAGGTACGAAACTTTTATCGCAGGAAGCATCTGAGGCTCGCATGTTGCTTCACCACCAATTTTGGCATCGCGGGCAACTTCAAATGTTGGTTGATCCCGCGTGACAGCCTGTGTCAGGCTTTGTGGTTGCCCACCAAGTTGTGTTGCATGTTTTCTCCACCCGACTTTTTCCAATTGCTCGGAAGCCCTCCTCCCCGCCCATCCTTAGGGACCTAAGGAAATAGACTTCACCCATACATCTAGTGTTGTTATGTGTGCAATCTTGCTTGTGGATATATCGTTTTTGTAACGCATTCAGGAGTCGCGATGTGGGGATTCTTGCAAGCCGTATTACTTATCGTTAACTCTCTGGCAATCCTTAATGAAGAGCGCTTTCTAGTTCCTTGTAAGACGACTGTTTTGTGTCTTAAATCTGTAAATTTTCCTCGCCCGCACACGACCTGACCTAATTTACCACATCGACGCTTTGAATCATAATTGCCAGACGAACGCTGGTAAAATCAGCTTTGTAATGGAAGAGCTTTCTTTGATGCTATCTTCTCTGTTGCTTTCAGACGGTTGGGGTTTCCAGGAGATGTCCAGTGGCAGAATATCCCCTTTGAAAGCGCAGATTATCGGACTACTTCATGCAGTGCAATACCTACGAGGTAGGCAATTGTGCTGCGATCCTTCTCCTGGTCGCTGCTATTCGCTTACCTGCAGTATGTCACCAGTCCGTGTCTTGGTTCGTACCGCCAGTCGTTCTTTGTATATGGATCTGCAAACTCCCTGACATTGTGGTCGATTTTGACTCCTCTGTGGGCCGGATTTGTGATCCGTTTTGATTTGTGAGTCTAATCTTTCTGCACCTTGCCTGCCCTCACCTTTGCTTCCTGCAGTGCCTTTGATAGGTTTGAACGTCATTACAATAGTTTTCAAACTACTTTTTGCGTGACCATGGCTTTCATGGTCTGATAGTTCATAAGGCTATGCTCAAGTGTGGGTGGCCTGAAGCCCTTTTCCCAGAGACAGGGATACTCGCCTGAGTGCCCAGAGCAATGTGTTTTTACAGCAGAAAGAAGACGTTGCAGCTGTAAGCCAAGTCGGCAACTGTGTAGTTACCACCAATACTGACTAGCTGTCAGTTGGCTGTAGAATCTTAGATACGGGTGAGGGTGAGCTACACTTGGCAAACTGCACCATTGTGTGCAACACTCTTTCCATCACATCAGTCAAAGCTCATCTGCACACGACACTCATTGGGCCGGCTCCCCGTAGTCGGTTTCAGTTCATGCTTGAATGTTGAGGCTGGTGAATTGACTCTTGAGAGTGAGAAACCTAGAGTGCACGTTGTCTTGCTCTAGTTCGTTTCATGTCCAGTTCGATACACTACATTCCCCAAACAAGATCTACCGGCCCAGTGTCCTGAAGTTGGTTCCAGTTAATAATCACCAAGAAGATCACTCCCCTGATATATGAAGGCTCGGTATAATCCATCACTTCGTTTATTTGTATGCAATCATCCCAATATATCTGAACCATTTAGGACTACTGATCTCACAAAGAGAAGAAAATCATTTGAGGGATTGAAAGGCATTACAAAAAGCTTGCAATACAACCTCAAACATTAAACGCATATGAATTTGCTCGTGGAAACTCATGGAGACTACGGCACAACCACTTTGCCGAGCAAACAAACAAATCGCAGCAAGCGATAACGCAGATATATATACACACTAGACGAAGAAGAATCCTTCGAAGTTCGTCACAATGATCTGATGATTCGAGCAGCATCCACGCAATGAAGAGTGGCGAGGCGGACGACAGTGGAAGAAGGGAGATCATGGCGCGAGGAGCGGAGCATAACCAAGTCCCTTTCCAGCTCCTCGAGGCACAGCTCCGCAGCTGCCTTGCGCTCCAGCCATGCAGTCCCTCCGCGCACGCCCTGACAGGGAAGCACGACGAAAGAAGACAAGAGTATTAGTTGGGGGTCGAGAGGAAGAAATATTTAGTGATGATGCCTGCAAGGCGTGCAAGGATGATGCATCCCATGACAAGTGTGGCCTCAGAGAGACACTTGCCGGCATACTTATGCACCACGCAATTCGCTTATGAAAGGCAACTTACTCGTGTGGGATGACCCATCATCGCCACCAACCCAATCCGCGCCCTCTCCACTACTGCAGCTCCAGCCGCCGCCAGGCTAGCCCCCGATACGGTGACAGCGGCGGTAGTCTGCTCAGCGCCGGACAACGAGCCCGCCGACGAGGTTTGGCTGGCGCTGGGGAGATTCTGCGAAAGACGACCGCGCCGAGGGACGTTCTGCAGGACGTTGGCGAAGGCGGAGAGGAAGGCGGACATCGCGTGGGCGGAGGGGAAGACGGGCGTGGGCGGAAGGGACGCGAAGGCGTAAGGCGCGGATTCGGGAGTCCCGGAGACTCGCGCGATCGACAAAGTAGCGGCCGCAACGGCGGCGGCGGCGGCGTCGTCATCCTCGGTGATATCCGTGGCTGGGGAGAAGAATTGCACGGCTTGTGCTTTCGGCTCATCGCGCACGAGCTGGGTGAAGGAGTCTGGAGCACGGTCGGCGTTAATGTCGCTGGGAGGTGCGAGAACAGCGGGTCCGGCGGAGGCGGCGTGAGGCACTGTTGAGGCGTGGCGGTTCGGCGTCGATTCCGATGTTAGCGCAGCAGATTTAGCCGGAGGGGAGACGAATCGGGTGGTGGTGGTGGAAGGCGGGGGGAATGCAGGGAGATGTTGCGCGGATTGGGAGTGCGGGTAGGAGGAGCCTTGTGCAGAGGCGAAAACGGGTGAGAGCGTCCATTGGGCTCTGCTGGCTGTGATCGCCATAACCGGCTGGGCGGGACTGTAGAGGTAGCAGGCAGCCATTAGCGCACGACACCAGCGAGCTGAGGGAGTGTGAAATGGAACTGGAAACGGTGAGAGAAAAGCATGAGGACGCTGCTGAAAACGATGTTTCGGTGGTGCTCTTGAAGGCACGAGTGATGAGGGAAAGCTGGTCGGGTAACACAAAGCACGAAGTACCACGCTGCACCGTACTTCAACGAACCAGAAGTTGTCCACGGCACAATATAGTGGAAAAGTGTGATGTCATTTTTGTAGACTGAATGGAATTTGGCCAGCTTCAAGGGAGTATTGGGAGTGAGCTGCTGAAATGATGAGCCGAGTGGGAATAAACAGTGACAAGCTGTGAAATGCTTCTTCTGGCACGTGTCCGCTTTATCCACAGCAGCCAATTGCGGAACTAGGAATTCGCGATTTCTTCTGCATTCGGAGCGTCGGCGCCAGGAGGCGTGAAATCAGCCAGGAAAAGGGAATCAAAAGGACATTGTGGAGACGTTTGGCTCCGGACATCTAATATTTGATTGCCACGTGGAAAATGAACACAGCAGATCACATGGGACTGCCACGCGAGAAACTCACAACATGACATGACAATCATCGAGCGTGCTCTCTGGTGTAAATTGCGGGCGACAAGGTCTTCAACGAACAGCCCGTTAAACTTTCGTTTTTCGAGACAGTAAATGTTGAAATGAGTGTCCAAAAGGCTAATGTCTTGCATTTTCAGCCACACACTCATTATGTACACCACAAACATGCCTAAAACGGGCACACAAAAGGAACTACTATCAACCATGTCAGAAACACGATATGATCGCTTCCAACAATGCACAACAACCGAAACTTCTGTATCCGAGTCACCATGGTCTCCACAACAATGCTGCCGCTCGTGGTTTGACACGCTTGAGTAGCGTCTAATCAGGTCCGAGAAAAACATGGGGTCTTACATGCACCCTTACGTGGTGCTAACGTCACGTGCGCCACTTCAGACGTTCAGATTCCCCGACGCCACTTCAGACGTCCAGTGAAAAAGCTTCACAGAAACCAGAAGTTAGAAGGTGTGTCCAACTAGTTGTAAGGGGGTGTCCGAAGTGAAACGTAGATGGATGTCGGCGGATGTCGGCGGATGTCGGCGAATCCTGACGGTCGAAATCTCCGATCCGAGGGCTGATATGTGTTAAACATTATATATGTTATAGTTCTGTAGGCTATAGTGGGTTTAGCCTTAGGGGGTACACAATTCTAGGTTTTCCTACTTGTACTCTCAATCTTCCTAGTGCAATCACTTCTCTCATTCTAACATGGTATTACGAGCCTAGGTTAGGAACCTAGGACCGCTTCCGCTAGTAGCGCCCTCGAGCGCCTTCTCACCGTCATGCCCTCGTGCGCCTCTCTCCTAGTGCGCCCTCGTGCGCCTCTCTCTTACACGCTGCCCGTGCGCAGCTCGCTAGCCGCCCGCGCGCGGCCTGTTTTCTCTAGCGCGCGCCGTCCGTTAGCCACCCGTGCGAGGCCCGAACCGCGCGCGCGACGACCGTAGGCCGCCCACGCGACTAGAGCCGCCCACGAGCGGCCCGTTAGCCGCCCGTCGACCGGCCCGGCGGCCCTTCCAGCGCAACGCAGCCCCGCCCGTAGGCAGCCGCGTCGCTTTCGTAGGCCGCCGCCCCTGCTTTCGTAGGCCGCCGCCCGCGCGCGACTGCAGCCCACGCTCGACCGCTCGCCCCTGGGACGGCGCACGACCCACCGCCGCCCGCCCGTAGGTCGCAGCCCACGCGCAGTGGCGGTTGTGCTTCGGCTGCTGCGGTTCGCGCTTAGCTGCAGCTTGCGCTTAGCTGCAGCACGAACCCCGCCGCGGCCTGCGCGCAGCTCCACCCTAGGCGCCGCCACGCACAGAGCACGGGCCCGCCGTCGAGCCGCCCTATCTGCCCGAGCCGCGCCGCCCGAGTCGCGCCGCCCGAGCCGCGCCGCCCTGACCGAGCCGCGCCGCCCCACCTGCAGCACCTGCTGTTCATGTTCCTACTGTTACAGCTGTTCTTCTCACTACAACTGCTACTGCTACTGCTCTTACTGCTACTACTACTACTGCTACTGCTGCTACTGCCACTATGGCCTCTCCCACAGTTCTCTCTTTTGATGCTGAGGGCCGTCCGCTCCAGTTTGAAGCTTGGCTTGACGATCTGCACCTGTTCCTCCAGATCACCGCTAAGGATGATGTCTCACTGTATGACCACGCGTCCGGAACCGCTCTAGCACCTGCTGACACTGCTGACAGTACCGCTCGCTCCCAGTGGCAGACTCGTGACGCCCACGCTCGCCTAGCCATTCGCAGCCACCTGCCGTTAGATGAGTGCGCCCACTTCGGCCAGCATAAGACTGCTAAGGCACTGTACGATGCAGTCGTCGCTCGCTACTCCTCACCTGCCTCTGCTACGATAGGCCGTCTCTCGCTGCCCTATCTTTTCCCCGATCTCGCCGCCTTTCCTACAGTCGCTGACCTCATTACCCACCTCCGCACTAGTGACACTCGCTACCGAGCCGCCCTTCCTGCTGAGTTCCTCGCCAAGAATCCCCCCCCGATGTACCTCGTTCTCTACCACCTAGTCACTCGTCTCCCTGACTCACTTCGCGCAGTCAGGGACCACTTTCTCGCCCTCTGCCCCACCGAGCTCACCATTGACCTCCTCGAGAAGCATCTGCTTGCAGCTGAGTCTAGCATAGTTGCTGTAGGTGCCTCTCGTGGCGACCCCCGCACGCCCTTCTTTGACGGGTGTTCCCCTCCCCCCCTTCTCCCCTCGGTTGCCTCTGCTGCCGCTGTCGACTTCCTTGGTGCTGAGGAAGTCGGGGCTGCGTCTGCTCCTAGCTGGAGGCGCAAGGGCAGCAAGGGCAAGGGGGGCAAGGGTGGTGGTGGTGCTAGCGGGGGAGGTGGAGGTGGAGGTGGAGGTGGAGGTGGAGGTGGCGGCGGTGGGGGCGGTGGGGGTGGTGGCGGTAGTGGGGGTGGTAGCAGGGCTGGGGGGGTGGGTGGCAGCGGCGGGGGTGGTGGCGGCAGTGGTGGTGGAGGAGGCCGGGGTGGAGGTGGTGGTGGTGGAGGCAGTGGGCGTGGGGGTGGCGGCTCGGGTGGTGGTCGGGGTGGACCGGCGCAGCGTGGAGGCTCGGGTGGTGTCCAGCGCCAGCAGCAGCGTCTTGGAGAGACCCCGTCGTCCCAGCAGCTTCGTGAGTGGTATTCTCAGCATGGGGGGTCTGGGGGCGGGGGTACCTGCACGTATGTCATCCGCATAGGTGACCGCGCTAGTCAGGCTTGTGGGAGGTTCCACACGCCACAGCGCTGCTTCTTCCGTCTCGACAACGCCTGGCGTGCACAGTTCCCTGAGGCCTCTGAGCTGCCCCGCTGGGCTGATCTGCTTAAAAAGAACATTGATGTCTTTGCACTTGACTTTGATGTTATCCTTGGAGCCATGTATGCATTGACTATTAGTGTTGAGGGTGACTGTTACTTGTGTGTGCCACCAGACCCAGGCATTGCGACCAGTGAGGCTGCCGCTCTAGGTGCTAGTGTGTCTGCTGCCCCAGGTCCTGGTGAGGCTGCTGCTCTAGGTGCAGGTGTGTCTACTACTTCAGGTACTTGTGAGTCTGCGCTTTCAGGTACTGCGTCTACTGAGGCACTGCACACCTTCACACTGGACTCTGGTGCCTCTCGCTGTTTCTTTCGCGACCGCACTGCCCTCGAGCAGCTCCCTAGGCCGGTTGCTGTCTCCCTGGCTGACCCCTCCGGGGGTCCGATCCTTGCGACCTCCACCACTGCCCTCCCTTGTCCTGCTGTCCCGTCCGGCACCCTGTCGGGCCTTTACCTCCCCTCGTTCTCTACGAACTTGGTGGCGGGTTCCGCGCTCCAGGATGCGGGTGTTCACCAGTTCACCCCTGCCTACGAGCGTGTGATACACTGCACGTGTGCCCACACGGGTCGACACCTGGCTACCTTCACTCGGCAGCCGGGGTCGGACTTGTACACACTGACCACTGAGTCCCCTCAGGTAACGGCGTCTGCGTCTGCGTCAGGTCAGTTGTCCGCTCACTGCTCGTGTCGCACCCTGTCGCACCGGACGGTCCTCTGGCACCACCGCCTTGGGCACCCTTCGATGCAGCGCCTTCGTGGCATGCACTCCCGTTACCTTGTCTCTGGTCTCCCCCGGTCACTGCCTCCCCTGCCACCGTCCCCTGCCCCTCCCTGCCTTCCCTGTGTCGAGGGGCGGCAGCGTGCCACCCCTCACTCCTCTGAGTTTCCCCCGACGGAGGCCCCACTGCAGACCCTTCACATGGACGTATGGGGCCCAGCCCGCGTCCGTGGACAGGGAGGAGAGCGCTACTTCCTGCTGGTCGTTGACGACTACACGCGTTACACCACGGTCTTCCCCTTGCGCACCAAGGGAGAGATCCCTGCTGTTTTGATCCCTTGGATCCGCGCTACCCGTCTCCAGTTGGAGAGGCGCTTTCGCACGGACCTTCCCGTCCTGCGACTACACTCTGACAGAGGTGGTGAGTTTTCCTCCGGTCTCTTGGAGACCTTTTGTCAGGAGGAGGGCATTCGCCAGACGTTCACGCTTCCGGCCTCTCCTTAGCAGAATGGGGTTGCTGAGCGCCGCATTGGCTTGGTCATGGAGGTCGCTCGTACCTCCTTGGTCCATGCGGCTGCTCCCCATTTTCTGTGGCCGTTTGCGGTCCGCTACGCCGCGCATCAGCTCAACCTCTGGCCCCGTGTCTCCGTTCCGGAGACCTCGCCGACGCTGCGTTGGACGGGAGAGGTTGGCGATGCGTCTGTGTTCCGGGTTTGGGGATCTCGTGCCTTTGTCCGCGATACGTCCGCGGACAAGCTCTCCGCCCGCGCTGCTCCCTGTGTCTCCCTTGGCTTTGTCCCTGACGCGCCTGGCTGGCAGTTTTACCACCCCACCTCGCGCCGGGTCTTCGCCTCTCAGGACGTCACGTTTGACGAGTCGGTCCCCTTCTACCGTCTCTTCCCCTACCGCACTGCCCCGCTC